AAGCCGATCTTCGTTGGTGTCTGTTCGCGGTGCAATTCTAACTATTGATGCGGAAAAAAATTTTTTAATTTTATACGAGAGTTTGCTAATTAATTACAAGAATAAATCATAATTTTATCGATTTACTAACAACATCCTCGTTTGCATAATGCAATAAGCTGGCATTCCTCACGAGTGCTTGATGCACAATTTTTGCGGGATAATTCGGGACATCTTCGCAAAAGGTTTGCATCTTGTGATCGCAATTTGCCTGTGACAATGAATCGATCATATCATCTATGTAACTATCATCGTCATTTCGCAATTGCAGCCCATCATTCGGAAATACAAAACTACTATCGAAGATCGTACGCTTGTCATCTAGAAAGCCATAAAAAAATTAACAAAAATATTACGTTTTAGGGAAAGATACAAGAAAAGTCAGATGCATCTAAATTATGAAAAATCGTAAATAATGAATCGTATGCCAAATGTAAATTGTTCCAAATAATTTTGTTTTGTAATATTTAACATTACCTTTCAAACGCGAATTTGTTTCTGTTTTTATATTATGATCGTAATTCGATTCTTCGGAGTTTTTCATCGGAAATCTCACTCGCTCGTTATTAATATTCTCATCATAATACTGTCTGTAAAAATCGTACCTATTATGAAAACGAGCCTCGAGAACAATCTGAAATGAATGAAATGTGCTTTATTTTTTTATTTTATTTCAATTCAACCAAATTTAATCCTACTTATTCTTTATCAATACAATATCTCGACAATAATCTTGATTGATAAGTTCAAAATTATACTTTATTTTCTAGGAAAAGAATAATTGATTATATATAATTTATCTTGAATAAATCGAGATATTCGATTACATATCTGCGGGATTGATTTTTCGACTACTTATCTGATTGCGCCAGTTTTATTTATATTACGTTAAATATTATGTTTTTATTTAATTTATGAAATATTTAATATTATATTTAATAATATTATTTAATATTTTATTATTGTATATTTATCTATATTATATTTTATTATTTTACTTAATATTATTAAACATGAATGTGTAATATAAACTACGTGTTTAAATTCTGATTTCTTAAATCTTTGATTAAAATAATTTAAAATATCAAACATACCGGTAAGATGAGGACCTCCGCCAAAATACGGTTGCAAATTTGTTCAGCACCATTTCGTTCTAATTGTTTTATTTTCTTCTCTCTTTAATTCACGATGTAACACAATGTAAAATTGCAAAACGAATAGAAATAAACTGTGCAAAATATTAACACTACACTAATGCAAAGAACATGGCCTATTCAACTTATTGTTAGTAGACTAAATAAGTAGCTTTCTTCTGGACTACTTAAACTGATTTGGATACATGACGACTTCCGATTGTAGGCTGATGTCGGTTTTCTCTTATCAGCCGCATATTATCTGTTTCCGACCACTTATCTGGAATCATCAAATCGCGTCAGAAATTAGTCGTTTGCATTTTTTTTTACAATAAAATTATATATAGCTAGTAGAAAAAGAAATAAATTATACGCATATAATTAACTATATAGGAGAAATTAAAGAAAAAACTACACATTCTTTGAAATTTAATGCTAAAAATTGAAGAATTAAAAAGAATTAATTTAACTTCGTCAAATTATAAAATTTATATTTTCGATAAACGGTATTAGTTCAAAATAATTGAATTTTTTTATTTACATTTTTCAATCTTATCTTCTTTATCGTTATTATCTCTTGTTTCCATATATGATTGAACGGTAAAATTTATTCCATAACTTTTAACATTTTTTATATTTTTTAGTTTATAATTTTTTTATATATCAATTTTTTCGACATTATACAGTTAAGATTTACTACGATCTATTTTAAAAAATTTAAATAAAATCAATAATATATACACAGATTATTGTATAAAAATTAATTGATGAAAATAAAAAATGAAAGAATTAAAATTTTAAGAATTGATATTAACTGCTACGAAAATTGCTGATAATTTATCTAAGTTATACATGCTTTATGTGTAAGTCCAAGAATCCAGATATAATATTGTACATACTATATTTAACTAATGTTGCATATCACGTACATCGTGGTCAGCAAATGTGGTCAGGATTTGCGTATAAACCGCGGACAAGGAAACTTGATGACAAAAATATCCTCTTACACAGGATAATTTTACATTAACTAAGATTATCTACTAATTTTATCTTTGGTTTCTAAATTTTACTTTATTTCTGCAAAAATTGTCATTATTTTAATTCATAAAATTAAAAAAATTTTACCTTATATTATTATGTTTTAGGACAAAAAATGTAATAATACTTATGAAATGATAAGATTTTGAAAACTATAAACGAATTCTTGAATTTCAAACTTTGCATCTTTTTAGGAAGAAAAATATTATACAACTTTATTCTTGCAAAAAACATGTTTTCAATTTTTTATCCATGAAATTTAAATTTCTAATTCTTATATATACATGTGTATTTTTTGAATAAGTGATGAATTTTTTCTTCGAATTTGCATTTTTTGTGTTACCATTTTTTGATTACAGTTTTAATTTTTTACTCTAATGTTGCTGAGGAAGTTATTTTATTAAGCGATTTTCCCGTTAAGATCGGTCTTCAATAATTCGTGTTACACGTTATTGTCATTTGTCATCTCTTTAATTTTTAAACTTCTGCTTTAGTACATGCAGCGACATCTGACAACATTTGACAGAGACAACGCGCATGTTGATAAAAAAATGTCGAATAGAAATCGCGTTTATCAGGTGTCGATAATGCAGAAAGAATTTCCTTGTTGACTTGTTTTTGACAGGAAAAAGTGACAATCACATGTCTGTAGCACAGATTAATAGACAGATCGCCAAAGGTCTGGATGAAGGAGAGACCAGCATTTCTCACTGATTTCAGCGCCATATCGTAGTAGTGGTCAATGCAGTAACTATTAATACGTTCCCAAGATAAGAGCGTCTCATGCTCATGAACTCGTCCGGCGGCATGTACGAGATTTATCTTTTCGTAGCGTTCGCGTATTTCGGAAAGGACAGAATTTTATGATGTTATAAATAAATAAATAAATAAAATATTAACCTGACCTATTATAATTATTTTTTAATAAATGTTTCATTATTATTATCATCTAAGTCTAAGTCGTTTAATTAATTTTTAGTTTTTTAATAATTAATTTAATTTATTCTAATCATTTTAATATGTGAAAAATACTAATACGTATACGTTTTATAATGAATTAATATATTTCGAGAGTCGAATTATATATTTTTAATAATATAAAAGTGTTCAAAAATTATATTTGACTTTTAATTTTAATTATTTTAGCAAAGAGTTCCGAAATCTCTTACACACATAATAGGGATTTTGTTCATCCATATAATTCGCAATTAAGTATATATGTTAATTATTAATTTTAATAAAATACAAAATTAAAATTAAAGGTCAAATATAATTTTTGAACATAAATATATTTAATTCGTTATAAAACGTATACCCGTGATAGTATTTTTCTCGTACAAAAATAACTAGAATAAATTAAATTACTCATAAAAAAATAAAAAAATAATTAAATAATTTATATTTTATATGATAATAATAAAACATTTTATAAAAAAAACAGATTCAATAAATATAAGTATATATATAACATGTACTTATATTTATTGAATCTGTTTTTTAATAAAATGTTTTATAAGCTTAGAAAACTTGACTTGACGTAACTAGCAAATTTTATTTAATTATTTCACGACGGTTTGACGTAATAAAATGTTTTATTATTATTATATAAAATATAAGTTTAAATTCTTTAATTAATTTTTAATCTTTTATGATTAATTTAATTTACTCTAATTATTTTTGTACGAGAAAAATACTATCATGGGTATACGTTTTATAATTAATTTAATATATTTGTGTTTAAAAATTATATTTGACCTTTAATTTTAATTTTTATTTTATTAAAATTAATAATTAACATATATACTTAATTGCGAATTATATGGATGAAAAAAATCCCCATTATGTGTGTAAGAGATTTCGAACTCTTTGCTAAAAAATAATTAAAATTAAAAGTCAAATATAATTTTTGAACACTTTTATATTATTAAGAATATATAATTCGGTTCCCGAAATATATTAATTCATTATAAAACGTATACGTGATATTATTTTTCTCATATAAAAATGACTAGAATAAATTAAATTAATTATTAAAAAACTAAAAAGTAATTAAACGACTTAGACTTAGATGATAATAATAATGAAACATTTTATTAAAAAAAGATTCAATAACTAGTAGGTCAGGTTATAATTTTTTATTTATTTATTTATAACATTATGAGCTATTAAGCTCATCATCTCGTTCGCTCTCTGTCTTGCTTTCATTCGGCAAGTCACAAACGATATATGATACTCGTATGTTCCTACTTCAACTCTCGAGAATCTGAAACAAACGAAACTCGTGTCCAATATACAGGGTGTCCGGTAACTAACAGACCAATGATTACAAATGGATTCTTTGGTCAATTTGGGAACGATTTTTCCTCAGCGAAAATGTCGAAAAAGGTCATCATTTTTTACAACTTTCCAATCTTTGTCATTATGTATCTTTATAACTAAGCCTTAAATTAAAATTTTATTATAGTAAACTCTACCTGAAATTAACTGAAGAATGTAATTATGTTAGACTTTTAACTCCAAAACGTTTAGTTTTCAAAAAACCTATTTTTTTCAATCGCTTATAACTCGAAAATTATTGACTTCTCAACATTTTTGCTAAGGAAAAATCGTCTCCAAATTGGCCAGAGAATCCGCCCTTAATCATTGGTCCGTTAGTTACCGGACACCCTGTATATATTATATAAAAGTGTATAGCACGTCAGAAGCTTGTGAGCTTACAGCGATAAGTAAAAACAATTGCGTATCTATTTCATTGCGTTTATCTGTTTAAACGCGCGCTTTAATTTTTCCAACGTTTTTGCCTGTTTATATTTTAAAGGTCCTCTCTTCTAAAAATCTTGTTTTAAAGATCCTCTCCGCGAGCAAAATTCGAAAACATAAATTATTTAATATTTTTACTTTATTATTTGTAAATCCTCGGTAATTTCAAATTTTTCTATTTGAAAATTATTAATTTTCTATTGCCAATTAATTTTATCACAGACTTTACTCTTACTCCATTGCACTTTCGTTTGCGGTTTTCAGTATACGATTTTTTATCGTAGTTACTGAAAATTATTATTGTGAATTATACTTGTGCAGTGATTTGAAGAATTTACAATTTCGTTGAAATTGTTGATTTTCAAAAAAATTACGAGATTCGCGGAAATTGCGTGCTTTCTTGGCATTTTCCGTTCGCGGCAGGCGGTTTATTTTTGATTGTTGCAAGTGTTTTTTTTTTTTTTTTTATTAAAATAGATAATAATAATGTGAAATAAATCACGATATTTGACAGATGTGCATATATATAGAAATTGTAATAATAATAATATTATATCATAAAATTGTAAATTGTTTCAATTTTTTATAGACTGCGATAAAAGATTTTACATTTGGATAAGAAACTGCGGTAAGTAAAAATATAAAATTCTTGAAAACGTACCAAAAAATTTGATAACGTAAAAAGGTGAACTTTGAAAAATAAGGAACTTAAAAATTGCACTAATAAATGGGCTATATGTGAGCCGTGCGCGGATGTAAGGTGTGTTATATCGAAATTTAATTAATAGAATTGAGAATTAATCCCAATTTTAAGTCTTACAAATGTCCAAGCTAATTTTTTGTACCTCGTGTACATTTTTGAAAGTTATATCGAAAAATTAAATTTCAATATGCGTCTTACATCTCACATTTCGCATACGGCTCACATATAGCCTATTTATCTCTTATACTTTATTTCAACCCTTATAGAAATTTATTACTAGTAACGCCAATTTATCAATTTATTTCGAGTAATTAATCACTTTTATTTCGAATACTTAAATTACTGTATATTATAGTATTTTAAATACTCGAAATAAGTGATTAATTGGCATAGTGATAAATTTCTACAAGAGAATAAGGAGCCTTTAAATTCTTAATGTAAAAATTTCAAGTAATTTTCTTTAATAAAATTTAATTAAAAATTTTTTGAACACTGTGTTATATCACATTTAAAATCGTGATTATTTCAATAAAAAAACATTTTATGTGTAAAAAATATATTTTTTATAAAAATTAATATATATAACATATAAAAGTATAGAATCTCTCTCTCTCTCTCTCTCTCTCTCACAGCACTCACCCGGCAAGTGAAAGGTCTCGGGTTCGATTCCCGATTCAGCGATTTTCGGATCTATATTTTTCTCTTGCATTCATTTATTTATTTTCCGTAGGGGGGTTTAAAGGGGTATTGAAATTAAATCTCAAAATATGAGATTATTTCATATTTAAAATCTTGGCCGTGTCCAAGTTAAAATTTGGTGCCTTGTGCACCGGTATTTAATTCTAACGAAAAATTATTAGTTTCGTAGGATACGCATTGTCATCCGCGATTTGGCTCTTGTTGCCCGTCTTATACGTTAAATTTATATTTTTTTTATATTTAATAATTTTATATATATATATATATATATATATAATATATATATATGCATATGGAAAATTTCTTTCTCTTCTCTCTCTCTCTCTCTCTCACACACACACACACACACACACACACAACGGGGCCAAATCTCTCAAATTGGTCTCATGATCAATTAGCCTGGATTCGCACCAGGGGCAAAGTCTGTTGGTAATGTCAAACGAATTTAACCTGGACTTGCACCAGGGGCAAAGTCTTTTTGGTCGAGTCTACGAAATTTAGCACGGACTCGAACCAGGGGCAAAGTCTTTTGGTTCAAGTCTACGAATTTAGCACGGACTCGAACCAGGGGCAAAGTGTGTCGGTAAGGGGCAAAGTCTATCGCACGAAGATGGCGGTCTATTCTTTAGGCAGGCCTTTGGCGATCTGTCTATTAATCTGTGTCTGTAGTATATTCATAGTTCTGCACAGGCTCTCCTTTGTAGTATGAATCCAAGAGATATAAATAGCAACATGAATAAATGATAAATATAAAAACACCGAATCGACCTCGGAACTCGGATCATTAATTTTCTTCGAAACAATCTTCGGATCAATCTTCGAATACTTCGTTTGAATGCATCATGCGCATAACGCATGACGTTGTTTGACGTTTCCTCGTGATGACCACAAATTCTGACAAGTTTCGCTCATTGTTTGCAGTTGCCCGGCAAACATGTAGGATATGATTCCAAGACGATTCTCCCAGTCGCTTGGCCGTCTTCCCCAGTCTGCTCTTCGTCGGGGACATTGAATGTCTCGTCATCAGGTATCTTCCTCGACTTCCATGTAAATAAAAGGACGTTCGGTTCGTTCACCGGAGCAGGTAGCCACAGCACAAAAACAGGATCGTTTTCCCTGATTTTATTTTGTCTCGCGTATAAAATTACATGATCGCACGACTGCATAATCACCACGATGAAAATAGCAAAGTCCACCATCATTCTCTTGATCTTTGTGCTGATGTTGTCCATCTTCGTGGCGAATGTAGCTGATCTTATCAGCGTTGATTCTCGTCTACCGGACGAGACGTCGAGAGACAATAATGGGGAGACACGATGGTACCAAACCAAGGTATTACGACATAGGAAAATCGAATGATCACTTGATATGGTTTTTACAGGTTTGTCAATGTTTTATTTATGGAGTAATTGTTATGCAAATTATGTACACATTTTTTATATGCCATATTATATTCTGGAGATACATTACAATAACTTTTTTATTACTTTTAGATATCTGATATACATATAAGTATCTTTAAAGATCCATCTAGGGTATCACAGTTAAAGGAGTTCTGTAATGTGACGGTAGATTCAATTAAGCCTGCAGTTGTTCTTGCTTCAGGTAATTTATATTTTATCGATATAATTGAATCAAGATTATTGTTTATTTGATGTCATATATATTAACTATATATTTATGATCAAAACAATTAAATTAATCAAATATATTATGTTTTAATAGGTGATTTAACCGATGCCAAAAATAAAGATGAACTGGGTTCTAAGCAAATACTCCAAGAATGGCAATACTATAAATATGTAATAGATGAGACTAATATCAAAGAGAGAACGTTATGGTTGGATGTCAGAGGGAATCATGGTAAGAGAAATAAGCATTTTTTCTCAATTACATGCATATAAAATGGACAAGCAGAATGAACCAAAGAACAAAAATTATGATATAAACTTATTTATATATTTTCAGATAACTTCAATGTAGTCAGTCTTGATTCTAAAAATAATTATTATTCCAATTATTCTATTCAGGGAAAGAAACATCCCAGATCCTATATGTATAATGTTAATTTTGGTTCTGAGATATATTCCTTTATTGCAATTGATGCTTGCTTGAAACCTGGCCCTAGAAGACCATTTAATTTTGTTGGTATTTTAGACCAACAGGAGATTGATAAGATACAACAATTAGTTAATCAGTCTAAAGAAAGCAATGCAGATCATGCAATTGTATTTGGCCACTATCCTACATCATGTATATTATCACAATCTGATACAAATATCAGGAATATTCTAGGTAAGGATATTATATAACAATGTTATATAGTATATAAACTCATTTTACTCTAATTGTATAAATAAAGTTAATATAAACAAACTCATTATTTATTATAAAAGGTAGATATAGAAAGAGTATGGTGTATCTATGTGGCCATTATCATATGCTTGGCGGTATGGTACCCAACATGTACACATTACAAAAAGCAGGCTTTCTTGAGTTAGAATTGGCAGATTGGAAAGACAATAGAATGTAAGACAAATGCACTTTTGCATATATCTAAGAAAGGCATTTGCCTGTATAATTTATTTATTGATTTTATATTTTGTATTGCATTACTAATATTGAAAAGGAAGAGATAGGAGGGGAAGTAACTCATATGTTATTAAGAAAGTCTTTTTCAGTAATATTAGAATAAACAAAAAACACATAACTCTAAATGTAGTATAAAAAATATATTTTATTTTCAATTCTTATAATTAATAATATAAATATTTCTTTTAATTTACCTGAAACTAATATAAAAAGCTAACATAAAAAACATTTTGCCTCTATTAGAGTCATGTAAACATTCCTTTGTTTTATCAGCACATTATTTTTTCTGAAATACAGCTATGCTTATCTTCCCTGCTAACTTTTTAATTTACAAATGTTAGACGCCTACTTGACACACGCCTATTATTAGGTATCGCCTCGCAGCAGTAGATCATGGCCAATTCTCATTCATTGATTTAAAGCACAATGACTGGCCTGTAGCATTAATTACCAATCCAAAAAATATGCTATTTATGATGCCGCAAAAAGAAAATGCGAAATCCATTATTACATCCACGCATGTCAGGTAAATGCATTTCTATTAAAGCTGATAATTTTTTTATTTGTTTATAAAATATATTTAGTTTATAAAATTTGACTCTTTTATTGTGTTTCACATAGAGTACTAGCGTTTTCTACGGTTCCGCTAAAAACTGTCGAAATTCAATTGAATCATGATATTTGGCAAAAGTGTGATCATATAAAAGGTCCTCTTTATGTTTTGCCATGGAATTCAACAAAATACAGAGAGGGTATTCATCAAATAACAGTTCAGTACTTCTTTATTGTTTACAGAAGTTAATTAAGATATTTTTACAAATGTTGACATGAAATTATTTTACATTTCAGGTACGTGTAATTGACAAAGAAAATAAAGAAAAAGTTGTATCGCATCATTTTTCTCTCGACGGATCTTGGTTATCATCTCGTATTTTGCCCAAATTAGTATTAATGTTCAACGTCGTTCACATCGTAAGTTAACACTGCAACTAATAAAATTTTGCTTACTGAAGTATATGATAATTTTGTCATACTATCTTTTTTTTTCTTTTTAGTTTCAGTTCCTGTTTGCTGTAACATTAGCATTATCAATAGTACCACTGTGCTTACTCCGACTTCTTCACATATATTACAAAAGTAAATATGTGTAAAATTTATAAAATTTCTTTTTGTTTTATACTAAAAGTATATATTATAAAAGCTTTTTTGATTTAGATAGACATATGCACAGACCACGATTACGTATCAAGTTTTTCCATTCGTGGCTTAGGAAATTGTGGGTACTTTCTACTATTGATAAAGTGTTTTACGGATTGGTGCTATATTCGTTGTATTTAACTATTGGTACGTATCTACATTTGAAAAATTTGCGGAAAAAATGTATTAATTTATGTATTAATTTGACAAATTGGATTTCAGGTCCATGGACTGTAGGAGAAATAATCGAGGATCACATAGGTGTGATTTTCGTATGGGGAATATTCATTGGAAACAGATATCTACCAGGTGCTTTCACTTACGCTTACGGATATTTTCAATTATGCTGTTTTCATTTACCACTTATGCTAATTTTAGCACATCGAGTCGATCACAGGTTTGTTATATTGCAATAATAACATCATCACAATGATGAAAGAGTTTCTTAATGATCTTAATTATCTATGTTTTAGATTACAGGAAGCTGAAAATCCTGCGAGACAGTCCATGTCGAAATTTCGTTTAGTTTGGCAGTACATGGCAACTTTGCTGTTAATCTTGATACAATCTGTTATGGCCTATTTTTTATACCTGGAATATGGTATTATAGCAGTTTTATTATGCCCATTACGAACTGGGAGTATCATCGTAGCAGCAATATTGTGTTATTATGTGAACACAATGCCAGTCTCATGTTTAAGGTTTGTATTAATATTTACATTATAACGTGTGTGCGTAATGTATGTTGTAATTATATCTATTCTGGTCTAAGGTCTGCTGCATCTGTATGGTCTCCTCATGGAGCTATCAACAACAACAATGCAGTTCAATAAAAATTATAGGATAATACAATTATGGGGACAAGTTGGTAAGAGTTAACGTTTCATACAAATGGTTATTGCATTTGCAATTATTAAATTTACAAGAAAGTTTTGAATAGATTCTCTATTGTAATATACATTTTATTTCTTAAGTAGAGGCACATTGTGAAATTAAGAAACCAACTTAGATAATAAGGTATCAAAAAAATATCTGAATATTTTTGTGTTAAAAATACTCAAAATATTTATTTTTATTACATATTTTAAGAGTTTTTGAATACTCTATTTGCATTTTCTAAAGAAGTCTATGTTCCTTTAACAAGTGCCATATTATTTTACATGTTACATTATTCAAATGTATTCATGTATTATATGTATAATTATTCTTAAAAGATTCTATTCGTTTTAAAACTTATAATTTATATTAATTATTTTTAATATGCAATATGCTTTTAAAGCAGATATTGCAATGTGATAATTAACATTAATGTGATTCTGCATTAATATATAGCAAATACTATCTTCTACTTCCATATTGTCCATAGTTCAAACTTAAAAGTTCCTTTATAAAAAAAAGTAAAATGCCCTTATTTTTATTTATTTTTTATATAATGAGAAATTAAATTAGAAAAGAGAGAGATACAAACAGAATATTTATGTATTATAAATGTTGTTATATTTATATCTGTCATGCTTTATCTCTTCTCTAGAGATATATTAGAACAACAGAATGTGATATTTTTCACTTTAAAAGATGAAACATCAGAAGACAAAACTATATTGTAACTTTAGTGCTCTCGTTCAGAGTTTTTAACCAAATATCCCAATCACTTTCCTGTGACATATATTTTTCTACTTCTCTATACATTTAAGAACCATAACCACACTGTATTATTTTCAAGTACATTAGATACATTAAAAAACAATCTCATCAGATTTATACCTATAAATTTATGTGTTAAATGTCTTCTTTATAACTGCATCACAAAGATAGCCAAAATTAGACAGAGTTCAACGAACAAAGTTATCTCCTTGTTTTCTGTAAGGCAAAATCATCGTAGTGCATTAAGTGCACTGACAATCCTACTGTCATGCTAATTTAAAAATAGCAATTAAATTTGAAATTTTTGTACTATTTGTACACAATCTGTGTACGGTACAAAAAGGTTGGCTGTCTTTGAAAGATGCAGAATGCTACAAGAAACCAGTGAAAGTAATATGGTTCTATTAAAGTGTGATCATGTGTTTATCAAATATGATCAAACATGTAATGAAAATCACGTGTGAATTCTTTATTTAATATTGAGTAGTGTATGTATGTAACAAATAGATGACAAATAATAAAAATTTACGAGAAACGTGTTTGTAGACATAACATATATAATATAATATAGTAAATGTAATTAATAATTGTACTATATCGATGAGAAGGAAAAACTTTAGTTTCTTTTCTATAATTAGTTTATATTATATTTTATGTTAAAAAAATAATAAATTTTGTTATAATATTTATAATATAAGTTATATAATATATATAATTTTATATAATATATAATCTATATAATTTTATATATAATATAAATATATGTTTATAAATTTATAATAAAAAAAGCCGAACCGAGACGATCAAAAATGATTTTTCAAACGATATACATTATTATTTATGTACTTCACCAGATGTCACTAATATCTTTTGAATTGCGATCCGCACACACGATTATCTCTCTATATAATTTTCTTTCATTGCTTTACGTATACTTACAGAACATAATAACATATTTCGTGTACGAACAGTGCCGGTTGGTTCATCAAAGTGGAGCGTTTTGCTCCTTGTGATTATTACTTCAATTTTGTAGAATAATTCGCAAAAATGAGTCAACATCATTCACACGAAATAGAAGACCATCCTGAAGTTAAATGGGCTCTGGAACTACTTAAGCCAGATCCCAATTATAAGCTCAGTGTAATGCAGGAATATGCGCCTGAAGTTGTATGTGTGGGAAGTGGTTTTACAACACAATGTTTATACAATTATTTTCAACGTAGGCCGTTTTATGCTGGTGAGTTATTATATGATTAATTAACAATACTTTGTCATGAGCTTAAATGTATGTTTTGATATGTTTCGTTACATTTTTTTATTGTTGTTGCAACATAACCTGATCATGCGGTTATGTAACATGGTAAGCAATTTTAAAGCGATTAAAGATCATTTTTATTTTTATCCGAAAAAATTTTTACTTTTCTGATATTTTTTATGATAATGATGATAAATGACAAAATTGTGTAAAACTCCTAGACTTTGAACAGTCCGTTTTCAATAGTGTAACAATGAATAAAACTAATGAATAATATTTGTATTTAGGAATATACAGGCATATTATAGCAATGGCAGTAGGATATGTTGCATCACAAGCTTTTAAGAAATATAATGACGATTATAAGGCCCTACGTGATACTAGACTAAGGGATTATATCATACGACATCCAGAACTCTTTCCTGAACCAAGTAATATATCTTTTCTTATATTCTTAAAAATAAATAATGAAGTGTGTGTTAAATAAAAGATAAATTAATTTTTAATTTGTATTATGTGAAATGTATTTATACATAATTATTTATATACATAATTAAGAAGCATTATTTATTGTTAATTAAATTAATTTGAAATATATGTATTATATATAGTATTATCTTCTTTTTTAGCACGTGTGAAATATGGTGATTTGCTTCTGGAGTGGTGTCCAATTCGTTAGATAATTACTACAATATGTTAGATTCCAACGTTTTGGTCGTGTATTCTCTGATGCAGACAGTCAGTGCAGTTCAATGCAATGAATGTAGATGTACTGTGTATGTATATATTTTAAAATATATCTAAATATATTGTTACAATAGCAATAAAAAAAGAAGAAAGAAAAACGAGGTACATTATTTTTGAAAAATAGGATAAATAAAAAAGTTGCATAAAGTGTGCTTATTTCAGACTATTCTTTGAATAACAGATGGATTTTTTTTTAGGATTGTATGTAGCATCGAAACATTTTATTTTCTTTTTTAGATTGAGTAGTATAGGCTTAATGTTATAGATGTGAATGATTGTCGAGTATATATTCTATATAGGAATAACAGTATAAGTTTATGTACACTTGTACATCTGAAAAAATTAATATTTCATAAAGTTTTTCCAATACTGGAATAAGTAAGATGCTTGATGTGATTGATAATGGATTTATCGCATATGCACAACATCCATTTTGATAACAATGAACGAAACGCGGATTGTTTGCGCTAGAATTAAATCTAATTCATTCAAGTTAAGCTCCTATTTCTTTTCAGGATTGTAATTGTCGTTGAATAATCCTGTACCTTTAGAATCTCCTAACCAGGGATACTTGTTTGGACATTCTCTACATGTTTCCATATACCTGTTAATATAAATAGTAATAATTTTGAATATACTTTTATAATTTTAACTAAAGTAATAGCTATTAAGTAATTCTATATGTAAAGTTAAGTTTCTCTACCTTGTTGTTGTGAAATTTGCTTCGGCAGGTTTGAAGTCTAAAGCGCACTTATGTGGATTGTTACACGGTGGACCTGGCAAATTCGCTTTCTTCTTACATGACCATCCTTCGAAGTTATGCAGAGCTTTAATTGGTTTTGGATCAGTCATCCATGTTAGTGCTTGCGTGGCGGTTACGAAGTAAACATCAGGCCTGTAAAAATATACATCAATTTATTACAAAATTTTTAATATTTCAATACATTTAAATATATTTTATATATTTACACTCACAGTGTTACCACCCAATCAAGAAATTTCGACAGACCGCGTTCAAGCTCTTTAATTTGAAACCAATTTGTATGGAAAGGCATCATATATGGTGCTCTGTTCTGTTCGTAATATCTGTTAAAATCTTCTTGCAGCCAATCGAATACTTCTTCGGGATCATGATTGTGAAGCACACATTGATCCAAATAAGGACAATGTCCACCTTCATAACTCTCCACATAATGCGCATTTAGGGGTAGTTCCCAAATACCTACAATAACACAAATGTTTCTATATAACAATATGTTTTCTTTACTTTTTTTTGCAATTTGACAATTTTTCATACTTTACATTACAACTAAATCTTTTCATCATACTTTCAGTACCTTGGAAAGATTTGGTGGGACAGGTGCCTGCCTTACATTCGTGTGGAATCTTGTAATCGAGAGTATACGGCCAGATCGGCACTTTTAACGGCGAGATTCCTATACTACTGTCATATATGTATCCAAAATCCTCAAGTACCTTGTACTGAGTATTACGACCAGGTTTCAAGTAAGGTGCTCGCATACCGACTACTTCGCTGGTCGAAATATTGCTGAAGTGTTTCAGTATCTCACGCATCCCGATCATCTCGCCGACCCATTCCTCGTAGCCCTTGTCCTCCAGACCTTTCTGAAGCCTGAAAAATATTTGCTTTGTCAGCCTAACATTTCGGCGCAATTTAATAAGTCTGTTTTTTTTTCCAGTTGAAATGGTTGCATTAGTTTAGAGTTTATGTCTTTCCTTTTAATGTAGAGTATAAAAGATAAACTCTGAACTAGTGCAGCCAGTTCAGTTGAAAAGAACAGACCTAATATATTCACGTTACTCACGAGATCGTCTCGGTTGCAATTTCATGACCGTCGTGCGCCAAGCTCTGGACCATATTATAGTTGCAATACTCGTGAGAGATGAAGAACGTGCCCCTCAACGGGCAATTATTGGGATTCAGACGATCTTGGGTGAATATCTTCTGATAGTGATCGAAGTTATTGTGATTTATCGCACCATCAAACGTCATTATTATCATTTGTGGCGTCTAAAATAATTCAAATTGTATTAATGTATGTTTGATTAGATTCTTTAGAAATATTGTAAGTCATTGTAAGGATCTGCAGTCGAATGATCATCTTACCTCCTCTGGCTGAAGACCGCCGGGAATGATTGTGCCGTCTCTGGAACAGAAACAATACGGAAGCTGGCAGTTCGCTGTGTCGCAGCGCTCAGCCAAATCTGTGGGTGGCTCGGTGATTGGTGCTGGTGCTATAAATTAAAAGACACTATTATCACAGCTCAGGAAAATTTCGGCGAATGAAGAAAGATTAGGAGTGACGTGCTCAAAAAGTAATAACTATTAAATAAATTATTTTCGAAATACTTATTTTCACTTTGAACTCATTTTTCTCTTTGTATTTGCTCAAGTATTTATGATTTGGCAATAATAAAATTCTCTTACTGGCCTCGATAGGTCCGCATCGTGCCTCGTTTTTGAAGGTGCAAAACTTGCTGATGTCATCAAAGTGTAAGCCCGATGGACATCGATTCAAATACGGATACCCATCAACGCACTTTCGGAAAACGAATCCAGAGGATATAATTACGATTAATCATAGTAAAACGATGATTAAAGTAACCAAGGCGATGTAATCACCTGATAAAATCTTCTGCATGTTGCCGGATCGGCGAAGTTGCCATTACCCTGACCTTCTGGACACCTGAACTCCTCGTCTTTTTTATCCTCGTCCTTTTTGTGCTTTTGACTATGCACTGAAATGGAGAAAGACGAGAATCTGAATATAAAAAGAAGAATGTAAAAGGAACATGCGAGGTAATAATTTTTCATAGATACGGAAAATATTCTCGTGAAAGTAACAAGAAACATCTTGTAATTAATTAATTTCACGTACGAATTCAAATTTTATTCTGTTGCGCAGAAGTGTTTTTATTTGTTCGCAAGGACGATGAATTTTAGCAGTCTATTTCGATCACAAAAAAGTTTTTTTTTTTTTTTTTAGAAACATCACAATCATGCGATCGTACGTGATTGAAAAAATGCTCGAAAGTCATGCTTGAGCCGGGAAAATGTCAAGGTTGGGATCGCTTATTATAAACACGTTTATGCTCGAGTGTATTTGCGTTCTTGTATTTCTTGGATGGGGTCAACTGATTCAGTCAAGTACCTATATGTTCCACTTTTACCGCGTTCTTTCTGTCAACCGTTGTTACGCTCCAAGAGTCATGCGATTACGATCAGCATCAGCGACAAAGCGGTGATTTTAATGAATGGACAGTTGTTATACAAACTGGAAATTGCCGCATGTCAAACAGATTTAAACAGATTTTTTGCATTAAATTTTTTAATTTACATATAAAATTAAACATAAAAGAATTGCAAGATTTTGGCTTCTTGTATGATCTTTTACTTGCATTAACTAATAATGTCAATTATATCATCAGGACACAAAGAAACAAGAATAGTATCTCACTTACGTACAGAGAGCGTGTAGAAAATATAGGCAGGAGAAATTCCAGAAGAGAGGCTTGAGAAAGCGAGAAACGCATGATTGTGGGCATTCCAATATATGTTTGGACACGTGAATGCGCACGAACAAATGTTCGGACCGCTAATATTTATGCTCCTTTCGGCGAAATGCAAATTATTGCGCGTTAAAAGCGTATAAAAAGAGAGACGCGTATCGTGTAAGCGGATAGTAATAAATTACCAAGCATTAGCATATCTTAAAATCCATTTTGCACATTCTATCATCTATGTCTTTAAGTTAGAGATTTGAAACTATCTCAAATAGAAATTTATATACAACAATTAAAATTATCTAGAATATTAAAATTCCATTGATATGCGTGAGAGATAATACTAAATAAATTCGATTATTGTTTTTAATGTTAATTTAAATTCCACAAAGGAATGTTGATGTAAAAAGTTTAAATTCACTAGGGATCGATTCCATTGCGTGATGCATCGTTATTTTTAGTTAGCCAGTTAAGTGTGTATATCGTATACATTTTACACGAAACGCGTGAAGAATTTCCAAATACCGGAAGAGCTCTTTAACTATTCCAGACACGCGATTTTATTTGCATTCAATGTGCGTAAAAATTACACAAGGGCTTAAAAAAGAGCTCTCGTAATGTACATTCGCGCAACAATAATAAACTTGAGAGTGCAGAATGCAATGTCAAAGTTCTTTAAATAGCTCGCATTTTTCTTAATAATAATGAAAAATTTGATATATTTTTTTAAATTGTGCTAAACTTAACACTGAAATTTAACTAGGAATCAATAGAACGGAAATAGGAAGCGATACGAGAGACGTACGAAAATATAATGAGAGAAATTGTACGATGCATGATCAATGGAGGTCTGAAGATATTAAAAATGATGTGCAAGTGTTCACACAGAGAGAAAGTAGCACCTGCGAAGATTCTTCCCAGTGACCTTATAATCGTCACGTGTAGCACATTTTTATTCTGCGTTTCTCTCTTGCTCTAATATTGTAATTAAAATTAGAAATGTTACGTATCTAATCATTTATTTATTTTTTTCTTAATTATATTTAATTATTCGATTATTTATTTATTTTTTTAAATTTCACACGCATGCCAATCAATCCCGCTCTGTTTAAATCTTGTGGGAACGAGGAGGCAAAATAATTACACGATGATTCACAATGTAAACCGTATAGAAATAATTACTGTATTCTCGGTACAAGATCAGAGATTACATTTACAGAGGAGACACTCGATAATCGTGTAACTCAATCGCGCTCTGTAATTAAAGTTTCGCAATACCGCGAAATCGGCAAGCTCACTTTCGCCGGACTTCCTGACATAGTGTGGCGGATGCCTGTATTTAAAAAAGAAAAAGATTACTTAAAACGAGCAAGAATTCATTTCTTGAACGAATTTCTAATCTGTGAAACCAGGACGCATCAATGAGAGATTTTGGATTTCTTTTTTTTCCTTTTACTTTGTCTTGCCTATATAAGTATATAGTCTTGAATAATGTATTTAACATAATGCAATTTAATAAATAAGTTTTCCTTAATCCATTTGTTTTTTTTTCAGGATAACAGCAATAAAGGAAAACAAAATGTATAACGTAACTTATCAAGAGAAGTGCTCGCGGATGTCAAAAAGATTCGTTCAGCTGTAAAGTGGAAAGTGAAGGTACGGTGCACGTTGGCAATGACGTTGTTTTCTCGCTCAGGTGCAACATTTCCTTCTATCGTTCGGACTCACGCACACGTGTCCGAATGCACGTGTATACATGTATACATTCATCGCGTATGTACAACATATGCGCGTAAAACAAATCTTATGTAAACGTGAGTGAAACCGCGTTGATGTACCAAATTCGCAAGTGTCATCTCTTACTTCCTCGCGAATTTTCTGTATTTTTCTGTATTTTCTGTATTTTTATTTTATTATTAATTTGATCGAAGAATTCTATTAAATATATTAATCTTTTTTTTTACGTATAATATAAAATAATCTACCGATCTATTTTTAAATATGAAATGCTTTTAATTCCTAGTTTTTTAATTAAACAAGTATTATTTATTTTTGAGAAATTTATTTCGACGATAAAATATAAATAACATAGAATGTGTGAGCGAGCTAATAAGTATGCAATTATTTATCTGATTGTTATAATTATATACATATCTTCTTCGTTCGCGCGTGGTACTATTGATAAAAATATCGGGCACGAGAGAAGTCGACGAAAGAGAGAATTAAGAAAAAGATATTTGCCGGAGAATGTTTCTGGAAGGATATCATCGACGCAAAAGAAAAAAAAGGCAAAAATAACACGTCAATGACGACCTGCTAGAACTGGTCAGACGTAGTTCCGAGTAACAGCGAGAAGCCAGACTAGTCGAGTCAATATACACTTTAAGAATCCCAACGTTAGACAATCATCTTGGAATTTCACAATCTTTGAAAAGCGATTAGACACGAAAATGATATGTTAAGTATTGCTATTAAGAAAATTCTATTTCACCATAAGATTAAAAAAATTTGAATTTCGTAATTCCCGGAAAACGATTATTATATGTTGAGTAATATGAAATGTTAGAAATGTCAGAAAGAAATGTTGCGCGGCGCCAAGCGAGAATTTCAAACAATAATCTCTTTTATATTTTGCGACTTTCCTAAACAGATATACGTACATATATAAATCGAGATCTCTTGGAGGAAATAGGAACAAATGAACTAGAGAGAAAGGTGATCGACGTAGGAATAAGCGAGGGCGCGCCTACCTGTTACGACGGTCAAGACGGCGCAGAGGAGCACCGCTTCCTGGAGTCTCATCGTTCCGCGATTTCAAACGAGAAGCCGCGTTCCGTTCGGGTTCCTTTCGCACGCCTCGTTCAATCACTTACAATCACCGCGACCAACCACGGGGAAGACGTATCATTAGCTGATCACTGCGACCAACCGATCTGATCCACCGGACTGATCCGCTGCCGCGACACTGTCGGGGATACGCCGTCGCCGCCGGCGCGGCACTTCTTGGGAACTGGCCTGGCCTGGCCGGCGAGGAACCGTTCTCAGCTCACATTGGCTGACCACTTTCTACCGGCCCGCCGCCGCCGCCGTGGTAAATCGACGTGAAAAGCGATGTCTTTCATGTCAGACACGACCTAGCACACATATGTCGCAGCATGAGATTCACAGCTTGTTCGAGTTGCCTTCGCACGCCTCGCCTCGCTCGTTTCCCTTTCAAAACAGGAACAGATTGCCCCGCGGGGAACTTTTCTCGGAATCAGAAATTCTCACGAGATCACGCGAATTGTATATAAAATATATGAAATTTGAATTTAATATAAATAATATATTTTTATTTAATATTGAAAAAGAGATTGTATCTTCGCGTGCGATATGTATAACAATGTTTGCGTAACCCGACTACTGAATCTAAATATACATGCAAACTCACATAATCTTAATTATTCTATTAATCACAATTTTATGCTAGTATATATACATTAAAATATAACAAGTTTATATCAAAATATTCTATCGTAGGAAACTCGTTTTGCCATTATTTTTGGTTCTAAATATAGGATGAAATGTAGGATATATCTTTCTTAAGATCTTAACATGTCATAAAAACCGCTTCTTAACGAGGTGATTTAGGAACCGGTCAGAAGAATCCTCGCTGCGAGAGCTCATAACTCGATTTTAGCAATCTGCGGACCCTTTTTACGCTTTTCTTTTTTCACAGGCTTCTTTTTTTCCGCGGTATCCTGATGTTGATATCCAGTGCGAGTCGAGCTCTTATACGGATTAAGATAGTTCGGATCCCGCTCCGTGATGTTCAACTCCTGCTCAACTAGGCGGATCATCGTGATGGTCGATTTGTTTAGTAAGTGGCGCATTTGATTGGTGAAATTCAGGGACCAGTGTATCGTAGGATTCCATCCCTGCTGCGTCTTCAGTATTCTGTGAGTAATATCCGGTAGATGCAGAATAATATCCCCGAAAAGCGCAGTGTTCTCCAGAACGCTAGATAATGCTGCGATAAATACATATATCTGTTATTTTTTTCTATTATCATAATTTTTAATTAATTTTTTTTAATTTCAGATTTTATTGGCTAAAAATATATATATACATATATATATAATTAAATAATTGTATATATACCGTCTTTGACATTGGTATCTTTTGGAAAAGAATTATTGTTCGGCACGAAACCGGCCTTCTCGATGATATTCTTACTGGATTGGATGATCTCTATTACTTTTTCAGCCAGCATTGTGATCATTTTATACAGACGTTCATAATTATCTATCTTTAGGAGAGTCTGTATAGCTTCTACATGATCCTTACGTCGTTCGATGAACAATTTCTTGACTGTGTATATAAGAATAATTATATAAGAAAAAGGCCAGAGATATTATAATTATAATTAATATATAAGATATATCTATAAATATAATATATATATTAATATATAAGAAAATATATTATAATTATATATATAATTAATTAGAATTAATATACAAGAAAAGGTGAGGTTTATTTATTCTAATAAATAAAATTGTTTTGCAATGACAAAAGTGCGCATTACTAGGTTTTGTTCTTTTTTATCTTATGAATTTAAGACTGAAGCAACAATATGTCACTTTGAAAAACAGAAAAGTATAAATATGAAGAAAAGAATGCAGTTACGAATAAGAGACAAAACTAATCAAATAGGGAAAAAAGAAAAAGTACATAATTTTTCATCAGATTTGAATTCGGCGCCTTTTTGCGGCTCGCCGGTGATTGGTCCGCCATTTTCCACCTGCGCATGCGTCATAATTATCAACACCAACACGGCCACGACGTGGACAAAAATTCGCCGATGAATTCGTGACTGGAGCATCGTGAGGAAATTCTTCTGACAAGCAGGCGACGTCACTGATCGATCGTTGTCTCACGACGATTTTATTCGAGCCGAATTAATCGCACTTAATTAACTTAATTGTGATATGTCATTTGACACAGCCACGCCGCAAACTTCACCATTTACGTCACCGATGCCATCTGCCGGGGATTTCTTATTATCTTGCCTCGCAAATTCTCGCGGATGTCATTTCCAATCCTCCGGATCGTCGAGACTTGTCATCAGCGATATACGTCTCGATTCGCTAAATCGGCCGATCAGTTATTAGAATATTATAAATAATCCGACAAATGTGACGTGATTTTTACGATTTCATGTCGTTTTCGAAAACAGCAAGTTGCAAGTGTGAATCTGCGAGATAAGGAAATCTCCAGGAGCGAGCATGTTACACATTAAGTGTCGATCGGTTATACACGTGACAACTTTTTAATTGATACATTTAAAGTGTATTTGTCCTCGGGATTCCTCGACTCGCACTTCCTCTAATTCCTCGCAGTGATTTGCATCGACAGTAAACATGGCGGCGATGGACGGCGAAACGAAACTAGATGTAAGTATATCGTTCTATCGCAGATGTAACAAACGTCATAATAATTTGAAACGTCTTAAATCCTTGTCCTGTCACAACAAAGACTAAGAATATAATTTTCATAGAAATATATAATTGCGTAAAAATATATGTCAAATTTAATATGCGATATGTGTCTTATGTTTTTTAACAGATGTACGATGATGTTACGTACACTGTGGACCCTCAACACATTGAGGGTGAGATGACAATAGGTGCGAAACAGAAATCAACTTTAGGAGAGCCAGAATTTAATACTCTAGATGAACCCATCAGAGACACAGTTGTAAGTGTATATATATTGTTATATACTTTTATTCCAACTTAAAGATTTATTTTATGCATAGAACAATATAACATATCTTTTTATATTTCTGTTTGATGTAGTTGAGGGATGTTCGAGCAGTAGGCAAGAAGTTTTTTCACGTTTTATATCCTAAAGAGAAAAAAAGTCTACTAAAAGAATGTGAGTCTATACAAATAATATTTATCTATATTGTATTTAAAAAAAAGATAAGTTAATTACAATATATAACATTCTAGGGGATCTGTGGGGACCACTAATATTATGTACGTTTATGGCAATGTAAGATATATATTTATGCAAATATTATATATATATGTATGCATAAAAAAATTATTTTACATTAATTTATAATTGTTATTTAGGATATTACAAGGTTCTGATACAGCAGATAATTCAAATGATGGAGGGCCTGAATTTGCAGAAGTATTTGTTATTGTATGGATTGGCTCCATGGTTGTTACATTGAATTCAAAGCTATTAGGTGGAAATATGTAAGTTAGATTACATACATTTATCTATGTACATGCACATATATGTGTATGTATATATATATTTTTAAATTAATTTTTTATAGAAATAATTATCTCTCTTTAAATAAGTGCAACAATTTTAATTTGCAGATCTTTCTTCCAAAGTGTTTGTGTCCTAGGATATTGTTTATTACCAACTGCCATTGCATTAATTTTATGCAGAATTATATTAATAGTGCAGCAAACTACTCTCTTATTTATTCTGAGATTTGTAATCACTATGATTGGATTTTTGTGGGCAACATATGGTAAATATAACATTATTTTAGGAAGATATATATATGTGTATATCACTATAATTTATCCTTATTTATTCTGAATATATTAAAATTTATGTTAATGTTTCAGCATCTATGGCATTTCTTGGTGATAGTCAACCCACAGGGAGGAAGGCATTAGCAGTATATCCAATTTTCCTTTTTTACTTTGTCATATCGTGGCTAGTTATATCCCACACTACATAAGATGCAACGCTATAATTAATATATCACAAGACTGTCACATTGCTTTGATCTTCTGTACAAGGTCCGGAAAACAAAAAAGAAAGGGCAGAAGGAAATGCAAGTATTTCATACATAATATTTTTCAAGTTTAATATTTGAACATATTCCAATATTGTGCTCTTTGTGAACAATACACACACACACACATACACACATATATACATAAGTATTTATTCTTAAATTATCATTCAATATGTCAATTATAAGATTTCTAATTATATTCTAATCCTACTAAATGCACGCTACAATTGACCTAAATTTATTGTTGGTACAAAAATATAATCCTTTCTCAGTGGAAAAAATAGAAAAATTCTCAGATTAGTATATATTTGTACAGACTTAATAAGAGAAAAAATGTGATGTATGTAATATGAATGATGATTTTTTATATCATTGAATCTGGACTGCATTTGAATACTTCCATAAATTTTAGTGATTATTTGATTTTTACTCTTTATTAAATTCCAATTTTTTAATTACAATTTAATTATATAGATGGTGTAGAAATTTCAAATATAATTTGTACTTTTATGTACATGTACATTATGTATATATAGATAATTATGTTTAAGGATCAATATGTTACAACATTAAATAAAATGATCTAGTGTAAAATAAGAAAGATCCTTTTCGTTCATCTTATATATACGAGAAATATCTTTGCAATTTCTGCAAAAGAGTTTTACTGTCGTAATGTCCGGGATAGGCTTGCAACGATTTTTGTACTGCGATATAGCTTGTCTGTAGGTCTCCAAGCTGTGTACGTATAATGAATGTATAACATTATTTATATATATATATATATATATATATATATATGTATAAATTAATCAGAGAAATAATTACCTCGTAAGCTAAGTGTGCACTGTTAAAGTGCGCTTCGTGTACATAGCTAGCTATGTTGGCTGCTGCATGAAAATAGGTTCGCGCCGCGGTAACGTTTCCATTACGTATTTCCATCACTCCAAGATTGTTGTAGGCCAGAGCATGTCTATTATCGCTCGCAATAGCTAGCCTCAAACATTCCTCGGCCATTATTGAATCGCCCAACGTCTGAAATCGTTATACATCTTACATAATTTGCAGTTGTTTCTAGCTAATAGAATATAAGTTGTATACATACGATAGCAATGTGGGAAATATTGTACCATACTTCGGCTATGTTTTCGTCTGTCGCAAGATTCAACGCTCTCTCGAAGCACGATATGGTATGATCGTATTGCTGAGCGTAGAAGCAACAAAGTCCGAGGTTGTTAAACAACTCAGCATTGTGAACACCCATCTGCAAGAGACGCCTAGAATATATATTAAAATTTAATTTAATATATTTAATTATTTAATATATAATTTAATTGTTAAAAGTTAAAATGTTAAAAATACAAATGGACGCAACGTAATACAAATTTTGAGGAAAACAAAATAGGAATTATTGTGATTTTTAGCGTTTCTTGTATATATAAAAATATATATATATATATATATATATTTAATGTACATATATTAGTATTATATTTGTATATATATATATATATATATATATACCTATAATAACGCAAAGCTAGCTCCGGTTGATCATTGTAAAAATGATGCATGCCTATACTGGCAATCGCCTCGGTGTGAGAAGCGTCCTCCTGCGCGATTACTTTATAATATTTCATGGACATCGACGTATTATTCAGGCCCTCAAATATACGACTCATCTCCGTAAGTATTGTAACGTCATTCGCGAAGAACTCGAGACCTCTCTTACACGTGTCCAGTGCGGCCAAGGGCTGATCGAGCCTAATGTAGACCCTGATCAGTCGCAAAATTGTCTCGATATTTTTGTGATCTTTTAACGCTGATTTGAATTGCTGCTCCGCATCTCTCACTAATCCCAAAGTGTAATAACACTTTCCCAATTGAACTTTCCACCACCAATCTTTATATTGACAGACTTGGGTTGCCTGGACGGCCAAGTCCAACGCCTACGATATTTTACATTAATTAAAACGTAATGAATATATTATATCAATAATCTCTATTTATATGTATGTATATATAATATGCACGACTCACGTATCTAGCATCATGTTCATGGTAATATATGTATTCGAACAACGGTTTTGCTATGCTTTGTTGATTAGCATATTTAGTTATGTTCAAGCGTGATAATTGGATAAAGGGTCCACCCGGCTCCGTCAGCATCGACGCAGTACCAAGCCTTGAAAGACGATCTTACATCAGTTTTCTGTTAAACTAAAATACATGTACATGGATATGTACCTAACACTGCGTCCTGAGCTCGCTGTAATCGGCCTGGCGGTCATTGCTGTTCTCGGTGTTTTCAATGCCTGTTCAATCGATTGCGACGTCGCAGCCTGAGTAGCGGGTCGAACTACCCCAGTAACAGGTCTACCTTTAAAAAATATATGAAAATAAATCATTATCTTATAATACACTTAGACTGAAGATCTAAATTTTTTTAGGTGAGCTATGACAAACCGGATTGAGATTTGGGCCGTACTCCTTGACCGGTGTAACTAGTACCAGGATTTTTCAACGAAGTTCCCGGCCTGGGCATCATCGATATCGCATAATTGTCTAGCAGAGTCTCCGCGATTCCCTCCTCCTCGCCTTCAATGTCGTCTACATAGAGTTGCAACGTTAAGGCACGCATTTTCAAGACCCACACGGCCTGACAATCCAAGAGAATTTCATGGTGATTCATAGATTCAAGATAATTATTACTACTCTATATATAAAAGAAGAAGTAATGTATACCTGATCCAACGGATTTTTCCTCAACAATTCGGTGCATATCGCGGCACACGCTTCGTATTTCTGCCGATTGAATAAGCTCAAAGCTGTAAATAACTCCATGTTCGACAGAATAGTAACAGAGTAAATTTCCTCAGAACTAATATATTAGTTTCGTCGCATCGATCCAAATGTACTCGAGCAACTGCCTACCTTATACCTGTTGTATTGTATATACTATATACATAAGCGAAGTATTATCGATTATTTTCTTCTCACGTCATTTCTTTTTTCAACGGTACCAGTAGAAATAATCAATTCATACAACATTGTATACAAATATGATTGGTATTTGTTCTTAATCATGTGAGATTCGATATATAATTTTTGACATTTTTTTCTCAACATATCTCAAATGCAAATGAATAAAATTGATTGATCGTAAACGCTTTTTAATGTTTTTGAACTATTAAAAATCATATTATTTATTAGAAAATTTGCAATGGCATTTGTTGGTAAAAATCATCCGAGGTTAGAGGAAAAATAATTACAATTCGCAATACAGTTTATAAATACATAATCATTATTGCAGAATACAACAAGAATTCGAACGATATTTCGAAAAGCAAAAGATAGAAGAGCAATGTACTGAACAATCTTTGATGCGTTTACATAATGCTTTTCTGGTTGTTAATTTATATATAAATGTTTTTTCTTTATTAATATTTACTTTATATTAAAATATATTTTTTGTTTGTATTTAGGCGACAGAAAATGAGGAAATGGATTTTTCTCAACTGTATGACGCTTTTCAAGACATCCTCGAGATAAAAATACCACAGGACGAGTTTCAAGTTCTTTTCAACAAAGTTGGTTAATCAAGTCATTTTAATTGTTCCTGGAATAATCGTCACGCAATTTCAGATAAAATCCAATGGTAAAATAACGTGGAACAAATTCATCTCCTATTTACTGATAGAATTTCAAGACATAGATACCACTGTGAAATCACAGATGTTGGAAGCACCTTTAATGGATCCACCAAAATTATTAAGAACGCGTCATCGCACTTCTGTATGCAGAATCACATTTTGTCCGGAAGTTTTACCGGTACATACATGTATATTTATGTCTATGAGTATCTCGAAGAGTCTGATACGAGAATTAGTCAGTGTTTCGATTTATTGTACTGAGATATCATTGTGTTAAGAGATCTTTTTTTAATAATTTATTAGATAGCGATATATTAGAAAATTGGTTTTTTTAACAAAAATAACTAACCGACTTGTATATCAATATATATTTCTTATGCAAAATGTATCTCCTGTCCGCGAACTTATTTATTTATGATCATATATCATTTTATAAGAATTTATGAATTATAATAAATATTAAATCTTTAGGACAGAAGTACGAGTTTTCGCAGAGGTTGTTATCTGACCGTAAGCCGAGAAGGAGTGATTAATTACTGGTCGTTAGATCTTGAATACGAGCGCACTGTACAATCCAAGAATCGTTAGTACCTCTTCAAGTATCTCTCTTCTTCTTTAGTTCGATAATTTCTTCAACACTTATATTTTTTTGCAGCATATTTAAAGGTGCAATCCACTGCAATAACTGACATGATTGTGCTGCCGGATGTTCAGATAGTGTGCACGAGTTCGACGGAATGTGATTTGAGATTTTATGACACAGCAGCGAAAAAATTTGATCTTCGCGTATTGGTAAGTGATGATATGAAATGTCAACAATTTTAATTCGAGGCAGTTTTAATCAATTGCATACTTTTAGATATCTAGTTTGGAGAATGCAGTAGTTTGTATGCACTATTACTTCAATGCAAACATTAAGGAGAATTCCTATATCGTCCTGGGTGATACAAGTGGATCTGTCACAATCGTGTCCTTTAATCCTACGGATAGGGGACCTTTCAAACAGCACACCACTCGCGATGTAATTATTTTTCGTTACGACGACATCATGAAGGTATACAAGGATTGTAATAAAATATATATACATTAAATGTATATTTTGTGGAAAATATGTAACTAAAAAATTATAATTAGGGAGAGCTGCAAGGCTTTGAAATCACGGAGAGATTTAAGAACATACACACGAACTGGACTAGCCAAGTTGCTTATTACGGGAGCTTGCGAGTCTTCGTATCGAGCAGTCAATGCGGTGAATGTTCTTTATGTGTCTTCGATGCGACCGGAACGAAGTTGCAATACAAATTCCAAGTTCCCATGGGAATATCCTGCTTTGCGCTTTGCGAAGGTTTTCTTGTTGCTTTATAACTTACCGTATTACGATCGATTCATTCATTTTTGAAGGGTCATTATTTTTTTTTCAGCGAGTCACACGCTAGTAACGGGTGGACCGGACTGTATGATCCGCATTTGGAATCCATTTGTTCCTGGGAAGGCGAACGCAGTATTTCCTGGACATCGTTCAACTATCTGCGCACTTGTCGTGATAGACGCAGGCAAGCGTATTTATTCCTTGTCGAAGGACAGATGCATAAAAGTGTGGGACGTCCCGGCTCAAAATTGCATTCAGGTTGTTTAGAAGTTAGAATTGTCTAATATAATAGTCTTCTTCCCCTGCTCTCTAGATTTCACGATTGTACAATATATTCTGATAATTATATATATTATATATCTAATTATATAAAATTATATATTTAATTAATTACATATATAATTATAATATATGATAAATATATATAATAAATAATAGAAAAAATATACATTTCTCGAACAGACATACAATAAATTACCCAGAGAGCTGAGCGAATATGCTCCGATGACCATAGTATTCAACACGCTGACCCGTACGATGATCATTGCGAGTATGATGATAGCCATTCTCGTTTGCGAGCACGTAATTAACGAGGAAACTTCGGATGGCTACACACACATCAAAGGTGTTAGCTGCGTTCTTTACAATCAGCTTTTTCACGTGGTGAGGAACTATTTTATACTTATCTAAAAATTTAACGTTATAACTCTTTATGAAAAACGATAATGTATATATTCATCGTTTTGTTTGTATTAATATGCGCAGATTATTTCTACGGGATTGGATTCGTGTATCATCGTTTGGCATCCTTGGTCCGGACGCCGCGTACGTCTGATAAAACACGCTCATAGTATTTTTCGATACGGACAATATGTTGATGTCGAGATCACGGCGGCCTGCTTCGACGAATCCGAGCAATTTTTAATTACCGGCGCTAGAGATGGATCACTGAAAATATGGAATTTTAATACAGGTGTCTGTATGCGCAACATGATGGTCGACTATCAATGGTATATATAATTGATATAATGGCTTCAAATAATGAATATTTAAATAATAGCTAGATCAAAAATTAAACGAAAGATATAATTACAAAGTTATAACTTTCAGTTATTACATATATTCTGCTTTTTTCACGAAAATGTCCTATTTGTATATTATAATAGAAACGAAATACAATTAGATAGATACGATTAAATACAATTATACAAATCATAAATACATTACGACATTCTAAAATAACGAATTATTACTTTATATTGTTCTTATTTCTTTTGTATAGCGAAATAACCAGTATTGTATGGTACGAAAATCGAATCCTGTGCTGCAGCTGGAACAAACACGTTACAGAATTGGCGGCTTTCGAGTCTGACATATGCAAAAAGAATTGGACGACCAGTCACACCGACGATATTCTGTGCTCGGCTGTGAGATTCCCTCAGCTGTTAGCTACCGGAACTTATAATGGAGAACTGATTCTTTGGAGACTTGAAACGGGTCAGCCTTTTAGAAAATATCAAGTGGTTGATGTTAGCAGGTGATGCTACTTTGGTATTGTCATGAGCACAATAAACGAACACGTTAAACGGAGGAAACACATTAATTGATTTAATAGGCATATTGTAAGGAAGGAGACAGATGCACAGAAAGCGTTTATACAATCCAATGAGATCGACAAGCCTATAAATCAGCAAATTAAGTAAATTATATTGCTTGTAATTATAAGACATATTTTTTAAATATAAATTTTAAATTCTGATGTTTCTTGTCAAACAGTAAATTGACTCCGTGCGCCCATCAAGAATCAGCATTAAATATAATTCGCGTGATTGCGGTACGCGCGATAATTTTCTTGACCGCGCGAGAAGCAAAATCAAATGTCGGAACGCTCTTAGTCGCCCTCGATTCTGGCTTGGTACAAGTGTGGACACATCATCCAGCGGCAGGATTTTTAGGAGCCTTTACGGTCATCCATATTATGGGTGATTGTGCGATATCGTTGGCTACTGATCCTGAAAATCAGTTTCTCGTAACAGGTTTTTTTTCTTTTCCTAAGAATTTTCCAAGAGACTTTAAATAAATTTTTTTATATAAAAATCTTTAACTCTTTGTAGCTTCGTGTATCAAAATTCTTCCTCAAATGTTCATAATTTCTTTTCTCTTGTTCGAAGGACACAGCATAGGCTATATAAAAGTTTGGCTCCTTTCGAATTACATGCTACCAAATCCGCCGAAGGTGTGCATGCCTCTATTAAGATTGGAATTTCCGTTCTTGTGGAAAGATAGGATAAACGGAAGAGCGAAGAGAGCAGTGCGAAAACAGGCACTGCCACTTCTGCTGTCGTCTGTACGCGGTCATATGCAGGGAATCACGTCTCTTCAACTTATTTATAGCGCGCGAATAATAGTTAGGTATGTACGTTCTAAGAATATTGACACTGGGTATATATTTATTAGTAAATCTAAAAGATTTGATCGAATTAACAGCGGTAGCGCGGATCGTACAGTACGTTTGTGGAGTTTCGGTGGTCGTTACATATCAACCCTAGGCACCTTCAGAAATTGGATTCCGATTTTGCCCACTATACCTGTACAGAAATATTTCGAGGATTATAAGCTTCCAGCGGATGTCAAGCGATTCGCCAGTTTTACTACTTTGAAGGTAAAATAGAAACTATATGTATATATATAATGTATTATTTATTAAATTATTATATATAAAAAAAATATCGTTTTTTGATGATGCAAAGGTACTTCACGGTGGTATGAGACGAATTCAAACGGAGATCAAGGAAGAGATTGATATCTCGAAAGAAATTCTCGAAGAGCGACACATGTTATATGGAAAGCAATTAGACAATTCTATGATTGAGAATTATTATAAATTACAATTACCTAGCAAAACGTATCAAGAAAACATCAGATTAGACAATACTTTGCCATATGTGAGTGCATACTTGTTTATGTATGCTTCGATGAATGTTTTATTGCATAATATTTATACATTTTTATTATATTATATATATATATTACAAGAACATTTTTGATTTTAGTCATTTTGTATATTTGTATAGATACCAATTTACACACATATACCAACATATTCTTTGAAACCTGTAGAGGCACAAAAAACACTCTTACTTGGACAGAAAATGGAACTTACGTATGGACATTTAATTCATATCACTGGAAAAGTATAATTCATCTGATATTTTAAAAAGCTATTTTTAATTTCAGTAAAAAAGTATACTTAAGAAGAGCAATGAAACCACTACGTTTGCCTACTAAGAAAATTTCTGCCAACTAATTTTATCGCAACATTGATTCCTCGTAATGAAAACTTGTAAAATTCAAAATTTTAGTGAAATAATATATATTTTACGCAAATTCAGTAATTTAAATCATTATTCGACACGTTCGAATTCAGATATTTAGTATTATTCAGACTTGCAACTGTATACAAATAATTTTTAATACACTCGTGTATTAATTACATTGACTATATATTACAGACTTTAATTTCTCTTTATCGAATACAATATATATAATAATTGATGTATAAATAAGTAATGGAAATTACGAGTTATCAAATTAAACATCAGGATAAACAATTTGCCCTCATGTTTTTTACATACATGCAAAAAAATTAAATATTACCTATGTGCTGCATGCACATGATAATGGCTATTATTGTTCGGTACATAAAAATTTATAAGTGTAACATTAAATTTAATTATATATTTTAGTCTGTTTCCATCATGGAAATACGTGGCGGTGTTTTCCAGATTGCACTAGATGTACGTTTCAATCGACTTCTATCAATACCATGGAATAATTCAGTTAAATCTGGCGTACATTTACGAGTATCGAAGAACTTATAGATAAATTCCTGTGCAATATATCGTTGCATCGCAAGTTCCGCTTTACGAACGTCTGCTGCAAGTTTTAAAAAAATATATATACACATATGTTTTATACATCTTACAAATATATACACATTGTGTTTTTATTTTAACATTAAAGTAAAATATCAAGAAAATACATACACTTTGCCCAATATGGTATCTCATGTTTCGGTCTACTTTCATCATCCGATTGATCATCATCAGGATCGCTATCCAATACGTAGTTTATCACTTGAGCTTTATTGGCTTGTTTATACTGCAAAAATAGAGCAGTTATATTAATGCACGAATAATCATTTTCTTCGAGATAAAAAATATATATACTCACTTTAGCTTGAGCAGCAAGCATTTGATTTTTTTGTTTCAACGCCTCAATAGCTTGGGCTCTCGCTTCCGCTTCTTTACGTTTCTCAGCTTCTTGTTCCCGACGTTTTTGTTCGACAAGCAAACGTTCAGTTTCTTCTTGCTCCTGCACCTTTTGCAATCTCTGTTGTTCCTCCAGTTTGCGACGTACTTCTTTTTCTTGTGCTCGCTGCAATTGAGCATGACGCTTCTTCTCCAATTCCTCGCGTTGCTTTTCTTGGATCAAAAGAGCTACTCTTGCCTTTTCTTCTCTTTCTCTCTCAGTTTTGTGCCGTTTCTCCTGTTCTAGCTTCTCCTTAGCTTCTCTTGCCAATTTATTTTTAAGTTCCTTCTCTTGTCGCTTTCTGTATATAAAATATACGTGAAATATTACTCTGGCAATTGTATTATATTTCTTGCATTCTAAAATTTTATTTTATACCTTCTCTTTTCCTCCGTCAGTAATCTCAAGGCTTCTTCTCTCTTCTTCCTTGCATCTTCCTCATATCGTCTTTTCTCTTCTAATTTCTCCAAAGAATTGGTTTTACTGATGCTTTTTGGAGGTTGAATAAAGGATTCCACGTTAGTAATGATATTCGTGCGAGAAGCAGTTAATGCTTTCGTACCCTAAATCAAAATATATGTAAGATAAATATTTAATCTGTATTAAAATGATAAAGATTATAATATAAAATTCCAAATAGAATTGAACTCACATTCAAAAGATTTTGAGCATGTGAGGGAGTTTGAATACGAGGGATTGAAAGCTGTACCATCTTTGCCTTGGTTAAAGGTGTCATTTTTTGCAGTTGAGTTTGCTTTATAGTTGCTTTATCATGCAATAATGATTTGGTAATTTGTCCTGGCATTTGCTCTTTATTCTGAAAATAAATATATTTATTATTAACGAAATATGTTAGAAAAAATAATTTATAATAAATAGATGTGCTTTTACCTCTTTAAATTCTTCATCACCTTTCTTTTGTTTTGCTAATGAAATCCGCTTTGCTTTTGCAAGTGATTTACGAGCTAATATTTGCGCTACATTTTGCGTCGTATTTCTCGTTTCTGCTTCAGTCTCTGCAGCGGCCATTGCACGAGTTTTGTTCTAGTTACTCTTGGAGCTATGTCTACGTCAATTGACTTGGGACTATACGTCACTGCTTGTTCAAAAGCTTCAACTCGTTTCTTTACAGATTCTTTTGCATAAGGACTAAATAATGCGTTCGATTTGTATGGAATTTTAGTTTTCTGTGGGACTGTGGACGTAATCTTGTCTTTAAGACGTGTTTTCAGTGGTGTATTAGGAATTTCATCCTCGCTAGACAATGATAACACAGATTTTACTTCCTTCTTACTAATTTGTTTCTTCCGTCTTTTCACTTCAGGCGATGATTCATCATCTGTAATTAATTCATTATAATCATTGCATCGTGTAGTTTGTTCATCTGGCTCCGACTTAATCCTCACACTTGTTCTTTTCTTTGATTGTCTATCCTTTTCAATTGATGCTTTTTTTATTACCACTGTTTCATTTAATTTTTGCTGTTTTGACAAACGTCCTAATACCACTGTAGTGTTTAATACTTTTCCAGGCAATAAAGAACTAGATTTTAAAGTTGAATTCATAATTGGAATAGGTTTTCCAATTGCATCCTCGTACATAGATAGTTCCTCAATGTCATCAGTATTTGATGTTACATTGTTATCTTTATTTATTTCTTTTTTTGAGGATTTTTTAGAGCTTGATCTAGTAGAACGTATTGATGGTGACAATTTGGAAATACTTTCTTTTTCAATTTTTTCAATGTGTTCAATTTTCTGAAGAACCACTATAGGTTGATCAACTTGTTCAGATTTTTTCTTTGTTATTCTCCTCGTAGCTCTTTTTGTTTCCATTTGATTCTCATCTACTTTACTATACTTAGAACTACTCTTAGTGTCCTCTTCATCAGAACTACTCGTCATAGACTTCTTTCTCTTGGCCTGATTTTCTCTCTTTAGCTAATAAAATAAAATCATAATATATGTATATATATATATATATATATATAATTTTCTACAATTTATAATATATAATATGGCATATATACAAGAATATAAGAAATATAAGAATATAAAAAACTACTAACCTTCTTTACAGAGACATTCTTATTCTCATCAAATGAGTTTCCCAATTTTTCGAAATTAGTTGATTGTTTTTTAATATTATCTGCTGCTTTCTTGGATGCACTTCTCTTCAATCTACCACCTGCCACCTCTTCGCTTGTTTCTTTCTTCTGCTCATTAGTAGATCGAAGAGAATCCGCTGATGAAATATCCTCTTGTTGAAGTACCTCATCTTCTGGTATAGTTTCAATACGTTGAATCGCTTTCTTCCGCAGAATCTTCGGTGTCTTCGTAACTACCGGTCCAGATGAAGGTTGCAACAACTGAGAAACCAATGCTCTAAAATAAGTCACACTGTCCTCGAAGTTTTCATCGAGATGCTTCCGTAATTCCACGCTACGATTGTGGATACTCAAAAGATCCTTCGCAATTATATCTCGGATCTCGTCCTTCGATTTGATGTTCATGATGAGGCTGAAAGAGATTATCGTCGTCCCCGAATCGTGTCAAGTTTTCACAGACACAACGCTGTCAAATTTAATTCTTATTGCAGCAGCACAAGTTTTGACGACATAACGCGTATTCGGAAATAATACTTGGGAAAACACTCAAACAAAAAAAAAATCAGACGCATTACACACCGAGTAAAGCGTTGCTTCTTGGCGGGCTCATCCAAGACTCCGTCATTCGCCAGGAACTCCAACCGAAGGAAGTAACGACTTTTCCATTTGATTTAAATTGAGACTGCAGCAGCGACATCTGTATCCGTTTTCGTCGCGATATGTTCGTAAAGACAACGTTTGAACTAGTGTAGCCAGTTCAGCTAAAAAGAACAGACTAAAAACTGCACGTAGGACAAGTTTCAGCCAATCAGCATCATTCATTAGATTAACATAAGTCCCTAGTGTCCCTAGTGTCATTCACGATCAGCTGATCGGGTTGAAACCATGTTTTTAAATTCCTGTTTATTAGAGGAATTTAAAAACTGATTTTTACTAATATTTTTTTCTTCACTTTACATAACTATACATTTAATAAACATAAATTAATTAATACTGTATAATAAATTTATATATTTAGTCAACACAGTACACCTAAAATGAAATTACACTTATATAACAAGAAGTTTGTTCAATCCATTGGCTGCTAATGCAACAGTCTATATGACAAATTTTTGTATGTAATATACAGTGTTTTTCGCTGATAAACAAAGCTTTAATCTAATGGTAAACATTTTCCATCAGTCTCACAAACGACAGTCTCAAATAATATATTCTCTGTTCGATAATGAACAATAATGTCCTGTATCCTGTGTCGGACAAACTTCCTCTAACTCAATGATTATATTTGGTGTAAATTTTATATTATATCATGTGCTATATTTAAAAAGAAAATTATGCACCCTCGAAGATATAATCCATGCCTTTGTTACTGCCACAACTAGGAAAGTCGATTGGTATAAGAGGCAAATTTTGATCGAGTCCTACTTTCATTACAAATTGCATTTTAGGCCCTACTAATTGAGGATGTACAGCAGTACTTCTCGCTTCCCATAACCAATATCCTAAAAAGTATATTACAATTTTAAAAATTATAATCATTATACATAGATTTACCCTATATTTGTGATATACATGTAACAGATACAATTTTTTTTACCTAAATTGTCAGTGTAGAAACGAAGAATAATATAGCCCTTATTCGGTGCAACGAAAGTATCTTTTTGCACCGGATTCACAAGATTTCGATGCAGCCTCTTATTACGGTCCAAGGATATAATTTCATCTTTGGTAATAGGCTGTTCGAAACTTTCTTGGCCTACGATACTGGCATTATATCCATGTAGATGAAACGTATGAGATACATCACCTCCGAAACCTAGGAAAATATGATTTTATATATAATTGACTTTATTCTAAAGAATTTTTAATGTAAGAAGCAGTTTATATATTCACATTCTTGAAGGATATATTGAGAAAAAGAATGTTAATTATCTCGCAGAGCAATCACGTGAAAAAAATTACCTTCATCTATTAATACAATCTCGATTATTTTCCACGATGAAACTTCAATCATTTGCAGACACTCGCAAAACAACGGTGTGTCGGCGCAACTCCTAGAACGTTTGTCGAGGGTACAAATCAACTCCTTCAGAACGTTTTCCGGTTGCGATAATATTGGAGATGAAGGATACTTGAAAGACATGCCATTAATCTGCGCTATCTTCCTTACGCCTTCATCTAAGCCTGAAATTTTTCTTGATGTAATAATGATGAAAATGTTATGTTTTTTTCTAAAAGAAAGAATATAAACGACAATAACAAGGCATTTTCCTGTCACTGTATCTACACAATACGATGATATTTATTATATTTTTAATTCTATCTCTTTTTGCATTTAATAATAATAATTTACCGAGCTAGAAAACTGTCATATTATTAAATAAGGAATTTTATCTTTAAAAAATATAAATATAAAAATATAAAAATATAATAAAAATAATATAAAATATACAAAAAAATAAAAATATAAAATACAAAAATTTCCTTACTCAAATAAGCTGGATAGTGCTTTGATACATAAAAATTGAAAGACATGTCTGTCATATCATCCGTAAAGAATGAAAAAGTATTCATGTCGAAAGGCACATAGATAGTTTTGTCCACTTTTTCTTCCAATTGCAACAATTTTTACTCTTCAGATCCAATGAACAAATTATATTTTTCGATATTCTATGACAATGATGACCACTTTCAATGATCTTAAGTGCTTGTTCATCAAGGCTGTCAGCATCAGTGTTATCCTTTATCGCATACGAATCCAATCTGGTAAAATCTTCGTAAAAAATATATCCCTCGTGGCGCAAATTACGACAATCTCCAAGACCCTGAATATCGAAGGCATATTTGGCAATTGCCTTTTCTGCCATTAGAATACAATCAAGTCTTTCGCCTGAAAAGAAATTTAATATCATAATTTATACGCTATATATAGCTATATATATATTTTTGCGCTTTATTTTATGTACGTTATAAAATTGATTTTCTCTTAATGAGCATTTCTCTCTCATTAAACATAATCAATATTACAACTTATTCTATCAAAACACAGTAAAAGTTTTAATGATCTTCTGAACATCAAAGGAGCAATATTAACAACGAAAGTAACATTAACGCTATAATTTTTATTTTGAACAAAAAGTATACAAATTTCAACGAATATAATAAAATTTTTATAAAATATATATCTAGATAATTACGAAAATTTTTTGAGAGAAAAAACGTTTAATTGCATTAATACATATACATTAAAGTTTAAGTTGCGCTAGAAGAAGAAAACGATTGGATATACAAGGCTGCTATTGAATTTGCACATGTTATAATTCTCTTGAATTTTCTTTCGGGTTATAAATTACTTAGTTTCATTAAGATTACTTGACTTAATTCAATTTTTAATTTCTTTTATATATGTTCTATTGTAAACTGACAAGATTAAATATTTTAAATTATTATTATAAATTGTTGAAATGAAATTATAAATCAGAAAATAGCTCATGGTTAAGTTCTTAAGAAATCTGATCAAGAGCGAGAGATCGGATATCATTAATGAGAAAGTGCCGAGTCAGAGTGTAATTGCAAGATGTAAAACAAAGAATCAAAACACCGTGATATGTGATAGTAATCAGTCATTGCATCCTTTTCCTTAAATAGAAGATTATATAAAGTAATAGTATCTGAAAATCGTTCCGGGAAATCAGTCTATAAAGGAATATATCTGAAAATGTTTAAATATGCAAATAAAATTGTTTATATTATTTTTACTAAAATATATATGTATTTTGTGAAAAAACGCAAGTTTTGCTTCTATCTGGTGCGTTTTAAATCTTTGAGCGAAGAATCCTTTAAAAGCTCTATCGCTCTATTAAACACGAGCATAACGGTACATTCATATTTAACTTACTAGTCTATAATTTACTCGCTATTAATCTCTGACGGATTTCAACGAAAATGCCACACGAGCACACTTTCCTTTCGCGCAAATATTTCAAGATTAATGAGAATACGTTGAACAGTTCATTGGAATTTAATATTTTGAATAATGAAATGGCGATATATAATACAGATATTATTAGAGGAAATACACGTTTTACTCGCGTTAATATAATAATTCACTTCGGCATTTATAGATATAAGATCGATAAAAGTATTGCAATAAAATTGTAGTATAGATAGATATAGATAATTAGTGTAATCACCGCTACTTCATATTCTCGATTCAATTTATGGACACTTATTAAAGCTAGGGAAGAACTACATTTATTCTCATCTATGTCGACGTTTAATATTTGTTTGTAAAAAGTTATGGCGATTGCTTCGTACATAATATTGCATTATGACGGTGATTACAAATAAAAAATATTGCATTGATTTACATTCACAATCAGTGTCACATGTGATGTTCATTCACATTTCATTGTCATGGATTTTTCTTAAAAATTGAAAAAATGAGGGATGATTTTTGTCCTGATTATTCTTAAATGTTCTGCATTCTTTTTGCGTTATTATTGCTTTAAAAACTCATATTAATTCAATTCAACCCAAATGTCTAATTGAAAAAAACAGAATCAAATACATTAATGCATTATTTAATACTAATAGTTTCTAAATAAAATTTACACATTTTATTTACAAACGTGTAAATAAAAAAAAGAAGATTGTATGTGCTTGTGCTCATTAGAAAGTATTTAGTTTCAGAGAACAATTAATCTAATATACCAACATATTTTCACTCAAATACAAACAAAAAAATTGCCATTATAAAATCTTGATCATAGATCAGTTTTTATAGAAACATCCGTTTTCAATTAATTGTGTGACAATGATTAATTATCATCAAGATCAAAGGCATTTAATTTTTTTGAGAATTTAAAATACGTGATATCTTAAATAATTTTTATAATTTAAATTATGTCCTCTTTTCCCTCTTATTTCTATTTAAAAATTAAAGCTCGGAGAAGCGAAATACGTAAAATGAGAAAGCGGAAACGGGGGATACATAGATAATTATTTCGTCCGGGCTCTATTCGTAACGAAATCTTCCCTTTACCACTGAAGCCTATTCGAGCTCGTAGTAAAGATAATTCGACAGCAATGCTGAAGCTTTATGAGAATGCAACGACGACACTGATGGCTTATCGCAGGGTGTCTTCGGGATGTCGAGGATTTTCACTATCAAAACCGGCTCATTAGCGACGCGTTTGCGCGTAAACCCCGATCTCCGCCTCGAAGAGGATCTGATTGATCCTGAGCTTGGCCACCGATCTTGAGTACGAGTCCGGGATCTCAGCGAGCTGAACGGCGATACTCTCGCCGAACTTGGCGAACTCCTCCTTTGTCTTTCTCCGTCCCTTCTCATCCGTTTCTCCAACTTTGAGCTTTGTCTGTTTGACCTCGTCGAGGTCGACCGGCGAACCAAGGTCTTGGCTTGGCAAGGAGCAATTGTACAATTCCATCGCCTTTAGACTGGACGATGAAGACTCTTCAGCGTCCTCGCTCAGTGAAGCGTTGAAGGAACCGGTACCGGAGCCGTTTGTCTCTTCATTGCAGTCCATGAATGTTATGCTTTCAGGATCGATGTCGCTGACAATGTATTCTTCCTGTAGTTTTGATCCCTCCTCGACTTTCTGCGAAAAGGGGATCAGGCTGGATCAAGAATTTTATCGCGCTCTGATAATAGCGACAAAAAGAATTTACGTTCTCTTGTTATTTATTATTTTAGCAACAATTGAATTAGGAACATTTAAAATTCAATCAACGCGTTTGCACGATTTTTTTCTATTCTCTCGCACACGTTAATAATCTTCGAGGATTGTTGATTGAAAACTTTCACGCGTATTAATTTCTTTCCTTGCATAAAATGGGAATTGAATTGCTATAGTAGAAAACATTAATAAAAATTGTAATTGTCTTCTTGAGAAAGTGACTTTCAGATATCAAATGCAGAAGTTATTCGAGATCCATCATCTTCGTGTTGTCGAGATGTTGGCGCATCAAAATACTGCGCGTTATCATTATTGTTCTTCCGTGAATGCGATGAAATTAAACAGTAATATCGGAATTATCACAGAGTGGATTGTACATAAGCAAACATCGACTCTGGACTTCCACTGGGAAGTGAACGATCAGAATGTATGTCGTTGCGCGTCGCCGCATGAGTCAATGAAGCATTTATCTCGATCGGCGACCTAATGCGCTGTTTTTTAATGCAAATTATATTTTATTAGTTGAATAAAATTTTACACGTTAAAGATTGTGAAATCGTATTACGATATTTTAAAAATAAAAAATAAAAAAATACCTGTAAAAATGAGATTTAAATCAAATAGCGATTAATTGGAAAAAGATTGCGAGTTTCATGCGACTAAAAAAAATTAATTACTCTTTCTAAAAATTTCTAAGAACTAATTATTGTATATCTCCCCCCTCCCTTCTCTCTCTCTTTCTTTCCCTTCTTGAAACAGAATGCAGTTAAATATATATGTATATCGTAATTTTCGAATGAACAAAATCAAGGATTCTATAACAATATTGACTAGGTAGATCTTAAAAAAAACCTAAAAAAAAAAAAAGAGGAATCGCAGATCACGAATGATACTCTCCTTTTCCGCGTACCTTCTTCCGCTTGCTGTATCTACGCGTGCCGAATTGTAGAAACTGCATCGCTTTGAAGGCGAACCACTTGGAGACGTATACATCATCCGGGCCGGTCGCGGTGTCGCGGCTGTTCTGAATTTTGTGCACCTCCCGGGAGTACTGGCACTTGAGATTGGTGATCTTCTTCTCGACCTCGAGGGTGTTGCAGCGGAGGATCTTGGCGAGTTCCTGGATGGCCAGTTTGCGCTTCGTGCGATCCCGATAGCCCCGGGCGTTCCAATCCCAGAGGACCCGGCGTTTCTGATACTCGCGAAGTAGCTCCAGAGTCTTGTCCCGGGTCCACTCCATGCCGAGATGCGTTCCGCTGGATGCGCCTAGATCTTCCCAAAGACTCATGCCGTGACCGTACATGTAACGGGATGAACGTTTCTTCTGAGCGGTCCGCTGGCGGTTTCGCCGCGCGAAAACGCGCGCGCACAAGGAAGCAGTAGCAAACGGGTCGTCGTCTAATAAAACCGCGAGGAATCAACACGACGAAAGCCGCAGCCGCGAAACGGGCACGCGTTTTAATGATTTTTGTGCGGGGCTCACGCGCGCGCTTGGTCACCTTGCTTTCTTTATTTCTCTTTGCGGGAACCCCGGCGAGAACACGAAGACGACCGAGTCTGCGCGAATATCGTCCATATCCCTATTGCTTCGACGCGATTCAGCATCCACATCGCTCTTATACAAGCGTTGCATTACGAGAGGAAGAGAGAAAGAGGGTGAGAAAGGGGCAAAGGGGGAGGAAATCTCCCTCTCTTCCTGTTGCCGATGCTAACTGATGCCCCGTAATACCCTTCTCTTCTTGGTCGACCTCTTGGGATCTTTCTTTGTTTGCTCCATTAAATTTTAAAGCGCGAACATTGACATCTTTGCACTAGGAGTTGTGTAAAAATTTCAATAATTGATCTAGCATCTTCTAATGATGTTTTATCTTATCGGTTTTTACTATCTCCGCCTTTCTAATTACTTATGAATAAACCTATGCGTAAACGTTACATTATAATTTTAAATATTTAAAACCTGTTTTTTTATCGCACTTTCTTCTTTCGTTTTCGCTTCACTATTCGATTATTTTTTTTTTTTTTTTTTTTATGCAGTCAGATAAAATGCATGTACGTGATTGATCGCAATCAGAAACACACATACATATGTATAGATTGTATATATACGAAAATGTGTGCACTCGACTCGAACTGATGCATTTCTCTTTTTTTCTCATTTACATTACATGATGCTCTACCTCTCGCAATAATTGCTAGTCTGTCGTATTAGATACCGTGTTAATAAAATTTTTGTGCACTCGACTCAAATTGATGCATTTCTCTTTTTTCTCATTTACATTACATGATGCTATACCTCTCGCAATAATTGCTAGTCTGTCGTATTAGATATCGTATTAATAAAATTTTTGCAATTTTTGTTATAATCAATCAAATGTTAGCGACAGTATATACTTATTGATTTGTATAATGCTATTTTATATGTAGCACAATGTTATCTCATATTATTTATTTATTCGTATAATAGTTTTAATTTATTATATAGAATAGACATGATGTTTTATATTTTGAGATGTAGCGCAAAAATCATTTAGCACGTGCAATATATGCAATATACGTGCATTAACTCAATAGCTAAGCTTGTTAATTGAACATTACTACAATTTTATAAATTGAATAAGTTGAGATAAAATTTAATCCTGTCATTTAAAATTTATGAAATTCGCGATGCAGTTTTGCTACAATTAATAAAGAAACCAAGACCATTCTTATGCAAACTTAAAACTATGTTTATCCGGAGAGTGTTCGGATATGACGCCGGAAAAGCAACAGGATGTGAAACTTACCTGGGAATAAAACAACATGCGTGCCCGTCATTGATTGCACAGGATTGCCATCAGCAGCCAATACTCGGAGCGAGTGTCTATGAGCGGATAGCAAAACGGGACAGTTGTGGGCATTGGCATTAATGAGACGTAATAGATAGGAAAATCCATGTTTGACTCGTACAAATACTTCTCGTGCCTGTAAAAATTCCATTTCGAGATGTAAATCATTCTTTTTCACATTGTCGTGTATTTTTATTTTATAATTTAAACTATATACAATTATTTTTATAGGGGAAAAGTATATATACCTGACCATTTACGAGGAGCTCATTCGGTATAGGTGGATATAAGGTTGTTTGTTGTGTCAGTGGAGTTGGTGACCTTGATGACAGTAAAAGTATCCTCTCCAGACTGGCATTGTTATGTGGTCCTCGAACTGTCAATGACCCGTACACTCCGTCGCCCTGCTGCGAGACTAATAATCCCCTCCCCCATCCTCAATTTTATTTCTCTCACTGATGACTTTTGAACTAAGACGTGACTATTAGCGCTGTAGAATTCTACGAAGGTCTCAAGGAACGCGCGGTGGATTTAAGTAAAAATCACGAAGGCTCTTTTGCTAAGAGAGGATGAAATATCACGGAGATTGGACTGGACCACTCGCCATATCGCCTCGATTGGATTTTTGTCCTCCAACGTTTTTGTTCTGTCGAATAGAACAATTCTCCCCACGAGACCATTTCGAACAAGCCACGATACTTTAGCGCGAAATACTAATTAATGTACTTAACAAAAATCGCGACTTATATTTGCGATAAAGAAACGGTGAGAAGAGAAACGTCGGTTCTCTTGCTCTTTCGGGTCCATGGACTTTATTGATCTTGCTATTCTTGATGCAAGCGCCGGATAAAACGACATTCTACGGTGTAAACCGGAGTCAAAATCGAGCGAGTTGGTTTTAGTTCGAAATTACAGCTGAGTTTGCGCAGAATTTTCCTTTTCAATTTATCCTTTTGTTAATATAAATCATGTAGCGATTTTATGTATAGCCCGCGATCGAATTTACAGATAAATATTACGAAAAATTATAATAATCTCTAAACGTTTTACGTACCTGAATGAGCGTGGTAGAAGTATGTTCCTGCGCTCTTAGGATTTATTTTATAACGAAAACCAGCGAAGGAAAAATCGGGCATTGCGTTATCATAGGCACACCATCCATATAATTAATGTCCTTTTGTCGAATTCCATGCCAATGCAAAGTTAACTCGTCACTTTTTAATTTGTTATATACAACAACTTCTATTGTGTCGCCAAGACAAACCTACAAATATATATCGTTTTAAAAAAATTTTCTTTCACACAAATTATATACACATTTTCAATATTAATTCATCAATGTTGATCATCAATGTTGATTATATATATATTATATATATATATATATATGTGTGTGTGTGTGTGTGTGTGTGTGTGTGTGTGTGTGTGTGTGTGTGTGTGTACGTATATATAAAGTATTGCCATAAAATAATATAATATGATTATAATAATCAATAAATTGATTATTATAATTATGATATAATAATTTTAAAAAGAATATATACTAATATGAATATATTGAAGATTAGACATAGAAACCTGATCAATATTCATAGAACAATTTTTTGCATAATCGAACTCATATTTACTTGTATTGCTGGTCCTGGACTTCTTCCATTAATTGCCAAAAAGCTCTTTGTCCCGATAACATTTGTACACGTGGAAATCTCATCCTTCTCCTCGATTTTGTTTTCGCAAATACTACTAAATATTAAAAATATATCAGATGTATCATATTAAAAATATATTAAATGTATTACGTTGTTATTGCTAACAGTTGCTTATATTTCTAATATTTGTCTTTTTTATGAAATATAATTATATAAAATATTTTCATAAAATATTTATTTAATAAAATTTGCTGCACAGTCTGTTAATATTTTTTACTTTTATTAGATATATAATAAACGAATAAACATACTCAGATCATTTAAATTTAATTATTGCATTAATAAAATAAAATAATAAAATAAAATAATAAAATAAAAACGTAGATATTTGAGAATCGCCAGATAGAATTTACTTGCCAGTACGGTCGAGAGAAGTTTTACTTTTTTAAAATAAAATAAATTTATTAATTTATTTAAATTTTATTTGATTAAATTAAAAATTTTATTTAAATTAAAATTTTATTTTCGATTATATCTACGTTAAAAAAATCAAAACAAAAATGGTTTGAAAGAAATGTAATTCAATAATCAATTTATTATAAAATAATTATATAAAACTACGTAATATTGCTTGCGTTAAAAGCGCATCGCGAAGATTTATATATACAGTATACGATGCCATAATCTGAACCTAGATACTTTATGTATGTAGTACATATGAAAGTGGTAGAGTGCATCTTTGTGTCGTATTGGAACCTGTTGTACATCAAAGTACAGAATGTATTCAACGACCGTAAATATTCACCGTTAGAACGTTGCATTCCAATCCGCAAATAAAAGTAAAAAAATATTCGCTATATATTATTGCGAGAAACATGTTAGAAAAATTTATAAAATTATTTATTCTAATCTTATTAATTCGAAACTTTCTGAAATGTTTCGCTTTCTTAATTTCGTTTTACATTGCATATTTTTCACGCTATTATAAGTATCTTTCAAGCTCTATATATAATTTATAAATTCCTTCTTTGATAGTATATATATACATATGTATATGCATATAGCATCATTAAATATTTGTTAATTTAAAAATAAGATAAATTAAATATATCTACTTATTAATAAACAAATATTAATTTATTTTGTAATACTTTTATCTTACCTTATTGTGTTCTGCAATTCTGTGACGAAGAACTGATAAACGCAAGTCTTTCTTGAAAATGTTTCGCCGGAGCAAGGACGCACACATTCATGAGAATCGTCATCTAATTTTTGAAAATAAGAAAATTGTTAGGCTCATTAAGCGAATTATTGCGTTCATATTAAATAAAAATAAAAATCTCACTGATCGATATGATATATATTAATGATTAACATTAATTCATTAACTTCATCACTTCAATTAAGCGCACCACTTCGCGTAAGAATGCAACTGTAGTAAAATTTTTCAATAATTTTTTCGAAGATACACTCCTCTTTTTACAGGGCACAAATCAACGAATTAAAATATTCATTGTGGTAAAGGATTTCACTCACCGGATGTTCCAAAACACAAAACCAAAATCGAAGAAAAAACGAATATTAAAACTGTTGAATAGCGAAGACACGACATGACGGCCCAGAATATCTGGGTTGATATCAAGCACGTATACGTACATAGATTTGAACAGTCTTGCGCGGATCTAAGCCGAGACAACCGACCGACCGAGTCAGGAAGTGAACGTTTTGCGAACAGCTTACTGCTTGGTAGATTGTAAGAGTGGGTGAAAGAAAGGGGCCTAGGCTATCTTAAAGTATTACACTTCAAGGAAAAACTATATCTGTTTTCCTTTTTATCATAAGATACATTTGTTGTATAATGCTCTCAAATGCAGTTTTATTATATACATACATACATATATATATATATATATATATATATATATATATATATATATATGTATATATAAAGTTGAAAAAGCATTTATAAGACCACAATAACAAGATAAAAAAATTTGTTTTCGAAGAAGAAACAAAAATTCATATTTCCATAAATATACACATACATAGAGTTAAATAAGCTATTTTTAAATAAAATATTTCTACATTTTATCGATGCTGCTTTTACATTCATAAAGCTATATTTTAGAGTTTCTTATTCGAAAAAATATTAATTTTCACTGTCTGTATATTGTTTATGTGTTTAATAAAAGATTGATTTTGTAACATTGTAAACTGCATAATGGTATTCCAGTTTTGGAACATGAATATCTTTTTGGATTTCTGCATTGATTTACACCACAAAGGATTTGTTTTGGCGGAATTTTTCTGTAATAAAATTTGCAAGAAAATATATATAACTGTTGCTTATATATAACGGGTGCTTTCCAAGAACGACACAGTGCGAGTACAGAGTATCATTATATTTTCTTTTAATACCAGTAAATAACAAAGATAAAATGATACTCTGTCGCACTGTCGTTGTTGGAAAGCACCCTATATCTACATTAGACATCATTAAAATGCTGTGTAATAATAATTCTATTATACTTACTCCTTGGTGGGACAAAGTGGAAAATCTTCACCAGGTGGTAGAGATATAGAACTTCCTTCAATCGTTAAACGATATGTCACTAATGGTACTTGTCGCTTAGATAATCTGCCCTTACTGCTAACTTTGGATGCTTTAGATTCCTGTTTCTTAAGTAATCTTTCCATTGTCTTTTTCTGCAAAAGTAATTTCAAATATAAAAATTATTTTACAATATTCATTAACTTATCAAAATTAAGATTATTGGTTTAATAAAAAATTTTGACTTATAAACAGTACTTTATCTTTTTCTCGTTTTTCATCTGCAAGTTGTTTTCGCTTCAGAGATTTCAGAGCAGCCTTCTGTATAGCTTCCGCAGTCATGACTTTTTCCTTATAACCAGTGGGTAATGACATCAGTTCAACACCTGAATTTGGCTCAGTATCAGTTTTCCTCTCAAACATTGCTCTCTGTCGAGCTGTCATAAGTTTGGGATCCTTTGGTTTAATTTTTTTCAATTCATCGTCAACCTGAAATAAAATATGCCTTTATCTCTCACAGTTATCAATCTATTTTTGATCAAAATCTATACAAACAGAAATAATATATGTTACATATAGTAACTTTTATATCTATTATAAGAGACAAAATATTTAAGGAATTAAAATATATACCTCTTCCAGTTTACCAGACTCAATAGCATCAAGCCATCTTTCTTCTTCACTGCTGGTTCCACTATCTTTACCTTTGTTGCTTTTTGGAATTTTCTTTTTTGTAGTTGCTTTTGGAGAAGATGTAGTATTCATTACAGCTGTACTTATACAGGTTTTCAACATTTTTTCACGTTTATCCAAACTAGAAAATAATCATTGCACATATGTAAAATGTTTAAGTATTCTTGAAATATTTTTAAGCTAGATATAATATTGTTCCAAACTATTAAAAAATGTTTCTATTTATATATCTTAAAAGCAAAAAGCAGTACATTATTTTGTGATATAGATCATAAAAAAATTATAGAGAAATATTATAATATATGTACCTCCTTTCCGTATCCTCCTTTTTCATTTTTATCCTGAAACTTTTCTTCCGATCAGTATCAGCTGTGATATCAACAAAGACGTCGTTGTCATGCATAAGCTTTTTCTTTTTATGCTTTTTATGTTTATGTTTCTTATGTCTTTTTTGTGGTAGGACATCACTTGTATCTGCTAAATATTTAATCAACGAGAATTAGAAAAATTTACATTATATATCATTGAAGTATAAAAATTAATATGACAGAGAATCATACCTAAATTCATTTCTTCTTCGGTACTTATATCTCTCGGTTTACCCATTAGATTAAAAGAAGTAGCTAAGTAATTTACCTAAGAAATAATATACCCGAGATCGAAATTGCGTAAAGACAAATGCAAAACATTTGTAAACATTTTTTTTACATGAATATATTTCAATCTCTACTCCATCTCATTCTAAAAGTTAACGTCCCTGTAGTAAAAAGGTTGGGTTGTTTGAACTAAAATCAATCACGTGACAAAACTAGAGAGAAATCTGAGAGTGGCCACCGCGATTCAGTGGATGCGTGTACTAATGCGCCCATAATCTCACGTCAGTTTCAGCGCCGCTACTCGAAATATGAGCGAACTAAAATCGATGTCACGTGACTGATTTAAGTTAACTCATATCCCGAGTAGCCGGCGCTGAAACTGGCGTGTGATTTTCTAACCTTGTTTTATACCGCATCATTTCTTTACAATTTAGCGTTTTTCCGTTATATATAAAAGATACACATCTTAGAATCTAATTGATTAAAAATGGGTAAGGAAAATGAAACGGATGGTACGAAAAAAAGGAGAAAGTCTGTGAATGCGAGCGGTGGAACGTCCCTGAAAGACGGAGACATGTACAAGGTATAAAAATACCAAAAATTATGATTATTTGTTAATTATAATAAAGAGTCAAGAAGTAGACACAAAATATATATTTTTTACTTTTATAAATTACACCTAAGTATAACAAAAAATGTCAAAGATTATAATTGTTTGTTAATTATAATGAAGAGCTAAAAGTATGTATAACAAAATATATATTTTTTAATTCTATGAATTACACCTAACTTATATCTAATTTCCAGATAATAATAAATTACGAAGAAAAGGAAGCTAACGAGAGGTTACCAGAAGATGATTCCGAATGTTTTTTAACGACTTGTGACAATATTCGAGCAGCAATGGCTAAAATAGTTAAATTAAAATCCAGTGGGGATGCAAATGTTTGTAACAAAGCTTACACTAATGATTATCATTTATTTATTGTTTAGTTGGTAAATTTAATAAAACAAATATTTTAGGCAAAAGATGAAATTCGTGAATTACAAATTCAAACATCTCTGGCGTTTGTAGAATTGAAGAAGCTAAATCGAATGGAAAAGTTTCGAACAAAATGTGCACGTGATTCTCTTGTAGCTGCGAAAAGCAGTGTAGATAGTAGACATTTGCATTTGCAGAATCTGTTGTATGAAGTGATGCATTTGAAAAAGGAAGTTGTCAAATGTCTGCAGTTTAAGTGAGTCTCTGTATTTTTATGTAGAGGGAAATCTTTATTTTTAAAATTTTTAAATAAAATAAAATCTTTCAATCTAGATCCAAGGACGAATTGATAGAACTTGTTTCAGAAGAGGAATTTTACAAAGAAGCTCCAGAAAGCATTTCACGATCTGTATACAAATTTTTCATATAGCTAGAGTAAATTTAAATTAATTTCTTTCTGCAATACATGTGACAAATATATTTTAGGAAATAACAAAAATAATCCTCATCAACTGAGATTAGCTCGTTTGGAGTGGGAATTGACGCAAAGAAAACAATTGGCAGCATTGTGTGATGAACTAACAGAGAGCAAAAAGGCAGTAGCAGCCAGTATTGAGACAAAACAGACTCGTTTAGATAATCTTGCACCACAACTACGTTCTATATTGGAGGTAAGAATTTATTAGTTTAAAAAATATATACAATGTGTTTTTTAAATATTTATATAAATGACAAATTTTTATTTTTTACATTTTCAGGCGAGCAAACCGTTGCAAGAGAGCCTCGGATTACCTTTAGATAAAATTCGTCAAGAGCATCAAAAAGCTTCATTACTTGCATCTCCACTTTATGTATTATATGCAAAAGCATCTGCCTATAGGGATGCTTATGGTATAATTAATATAAATATTAGATAATTTAATATACATGTATCAATGCTGTTTATGAATTAAAATCTCATATTGTTTCTTAAAATATTTTGTAGATAATACATTACTGGTCAAAGTAGAAGGTGATGAAGATGAAGCGAAACGCGCAAATAATCAGGATGGTTTACAAGAGTCCGACTCTGATCCTGAGAATCAATCAGAAAATATTGTAGAAGAAATGCCTGTGCATAAAAAGAGACATCATAGATTATCTCGGGAAGCTAGGCAGGAAGAAAAGCGGTCCAAGTTGCTGCAACGACACCCGTTGCACGTAAAAATCATTATCGTATTAAAAAGTAAGTCTTGAATAAATATTTATGGTCCATGAAAATTAGTTCAAAATGTCATTAAAGTCTAAAGTCTAATTTTATTTTAACATTTGCACTTGTATTCTAAAAGTGTAAAAATAAATAAAATTAAATTACATTTTGAATATTTTTAAAAATCTTAATTTAAATCTTATTTTGTGTAAAATTAACTTTTCAGATGAGACAAAGTTAACTCTTTGCTTCTATTACATGATCCATTTAAAAGTTATTACAGTGGAGTCAAAACTCGAAACGGAAGAGTTAGGAGGTATTAGTGCTGGGTATGTAAAATTACTAAAACTTTTTTTAATTTGATATATTGAATTACATAAATTTCTAATATATCATTATGAAATATATAATTATTAGATGTATAATTATGAAAGCATACTTTTTTCTTTTTTATTTAATTATTTGGGGCAATTATTTCTCTTTCTCTGGTTGTGTTTAATTAATTAATTTAATTAACAGAGACATGCTGGTATCAGAATCAATTCTTCGTGAACTATATCCGCGAGACTCAGGATTGGAGAGTCCGAATCCCGCTAATCAGTATCAACTGTCACGGCATAATTTGGGCTCATTTTCATC